AACACGGTGGGTTTTGTTTCAGCATCTTGTACCATTCTGGTGTTGGTTTTCAGTGCCACTTATTGTTTACAGACACTACCTTCAGAAAGCTATTGTTGTTGACAGAAACTTCAGCTAAGATTCCATTATCAGATGACCTGGAGAGCTAGACTATTAAACCCTAGTCAACCACAGGACTCTGGTGGGGACACCTGGTTATGTGTTAATTTCTCACCTGTGGTCAAACTATTTGTGTGTATTACGTGTAAATATGTACCTGACAGAATGCCATCCATCAAATATACATTCCTGTGTCTCCAATGGAGTTTGGATGTCAACAAATGAATGGAATACCAGTTTTAGCAAGCCACAAGTGGTACCTGCTCAAGTGAGCCAGGTTGACATGTGTAACAGTTACCTGCTGAAGTAAGCCAGGTTGACATGTGTAACAGTTACCTGCTGAAGTAAGCCAGGTTGACATGTGTAACAGTTACCTGCTGAAGTAAGCCAGGTTGACATGTGTAACAGTTACCTGCTCAAGTGAGCCAGGTTGACACATGTAACAGTGACTGTAAGCCAGGTTGACACCTGTAACAGTTACTTGCTCAAGTGAGCTGTGTTGACACATTAACAAATACTTACACAAGTGAGCCAGGTTGACACATGTAACAGTGACCAGCTGAAGTGAGCCAGGTTGATACAAGTAACAGTGAGCTGTTTAAGTGAGCCAGGTTGATACCTGTAACAGTTACCTGCTCAAGCAACTGATGCAGCTGCACACATCGAGACTAGAATTTTGTGGCAGTGACACCTGAAGCAATGCTGACACATGTAAAAGATAACTGCTGCTTTGATTATGGAGCTGATCAGGTGTTAAAAGCTACTGCCTTATAAAGCGATGGGTTGAACAGTGACATGTTAACCTTAATTCAGCTACAGTAACGGGTACAGTAATGATTGGAGCAGTTACAGGTGCATCAGATGACTTGTGCTAACCCTGTGGGGCAATCTTCACTTTGGTAGTGTGACCTTTTATGAAATCTGTTAGGGTAAAGCTCACCCACATACATATGCCTGTATGCTATCATAACTTCTTGTATATAAGCGTAAGGCTTTGATCAGGACCACACGGGGTAAAATGACTGAATTTCCCTCAAGCACTACACCTGTCCCATTGTTCATTTTCAGTAATTTGTTTTCCTCCTGAAAAATTCTGGATGTTGTCTACCTGTTTTGTACCAAGCCTGTTTCATTGAGAAGGAAAATCTTACTCTGCCAGTGATATATATTGTATATATGTTAAGTGGTATAGTGTGTGTATTATTCTGGTTATTGAACTATGGTAAGACTTTATGTATTAACTGATATAGAAGGAAGGTTATACAATTGCAATAAAGTAAAATGATTCAATATTTTCTATAGACAAATATGCTCTTTATTTTCTAACAGTACTTTATTCTTTAGGCAGTGTTCTAGAGTTAAAATGCCATGCAAGAGGTGAATAATTTTGAAAGATACATATTAAAACCACATATGCGACCAGCATGGGGCTAGATTTGGGCAGTTGTAGACATTCCTTTTATGAATAGCACTGATAAGTGGCAGACATATTCTTGCAGACAGATATTATACAAGATCTGGGATAAGTGTTATGTGCTCCTAACAATTTTAATTGCTGTCTGTATACTTGTGAATACTACCTGTACATAGGATAAAGACCCTTCCCTTCACTGCTAACACCGCCTCAAACATTCCAGCTATTTCAGTCTGGGTGGGTAGTCAAGTAGACCAGACCTACTGAGTCAGGGTAGAGAAGTGTTTAGTAAAGAGCTACTGAGTCTGGGTAAAGAGGTGAGAGGTACAGAGCTACTGAGTCTATGTAGAGAGGTGAGAGGTACAGAGCGGCTGAGTCTGGGTAGATAGGTGAGAAGTACAGAGCTACTGAGTCAGGGCTGAGAGGTGAGAAGTACAGAGCTACTGAGTCTGGGTAGAAAGGTGAGAAGTATAGAGCTACTGAGTCTGGGTAGAGAAGGGAGAAGTACAGCGCAACTGAGTCAGAGTAGTACAGAGCTACTGAGACAGGGTAGATAGGTGAGAAGTACAGAGCTACCGAGTTGGGATAGAGAGGTGAGAAGTACAGAGCTACTGAGTCTGGGTAGATAGGTGAGAAGTACAGAGCTACTGAGTCTTGGAAGAAAGGTGAGAAGTACAGAGCTATTGAGTCTGGGTATATAGATGAGAAGTACAGAGCTACTGAGTCAGGGCTGAGAGGTGAGAAGTACAGAGCTACAGAGTTGGGGTAGATAGATGAGAAGTACAGAGCTACTGAATCAGGGCTGAGAGGTGAGAAGTACAGAGCTACTGAGTTGGGGTAGAGAGGTGAGAAGTACAGAGCTACTGAGTCTGGGTAGAGAGATAAGAAATACAGAGCTACTGAGTCAGGGTAGATAGGTGAGAAGTACAGAGCTACCGAGTTGGGGTAGAGAGGTGAAAAGTACAGAGCTACCGAGTTGGGGTAGATAGGTGAGAAGTACAGAGCTACTTAGTCTGGGAAGAGAGGTGAAAAGTACAGAGCTACTGAGTCGGGGTAGAGAGATAAGAAATACAGAGCTACTGAGTCAGGGTAGATAGGTGAGAAGTACAGAGCTACTGAGTCTGGGAAGAGAGGTGAAAAGTACAGAGCTACTGAGTCGGGGTAGAGAGGTTAGAGGTACAGAGCTACTGAGTCTGGGTAGAGAGGTGAGAAGTACATAGCTACTGAGTCTGGGTAGATAGGTGAGAAGTACAGAGTTACTGAGTCTGGGTAGATAGGTGAGAATTACAGCGCAACTGAGTCAGAGTAGTACAGAGCTACTGAGACAGGGTAGATAGGTGAGAAGTACAGAGCTACCGACTTGGGGTAGAGAGGTGAGAAGTACAGAGCTACTGAGTCTGGTTAGATAGGTGAGAAGTACAGAGCTACTGAGTCTTGGAAGAAAGGTGAGAAGTACAGAGCTATTGAGTCTGGGTAGATAGATGAGAAGTACAGAGCTACTGAGTCAGGGCTGAGAGGTGTGTAGCACTGAGCTACTGAGTCTTCATAGATATGTGAGTAGTATAGATGTGATGTCATTGGTTTAATAGTTTTAATGAATTTACAATTGACTTATATTTATATATCTCTGATCAATTAAGATAAGTTTATGATATTTTTTCACTTAAAATCTCATGCTCTTGGTACAACAATTATACATCTTTTGTGTATGTAATGACTTTGAACTGGTTATGTTCCAGTGATATCATACCTAGGTTATCTTACTGTGTAACAAGTCCAGCAGCTTCTCTCCACAAAATAAAATTCTGAACATGTATTTCATAGTATGCTTGTATGTCTGTAAGTTATGAGAAGGCATGTATGCCATGTAAATTTATCTGAACTATCGTACAATAATAGCTATTGATCTGCGTCAGTAAAACCAACACATACACATTTCTCATACACAACTCATAAAGAAAACTTTCTCAATGGTGTACATTTTGTTTTGAACCAATTGAAGTGAATTCCTGACCTTGCTCCAGTGGGCTGTGTTTGGTCCGGGTTTTCTAGCTGGCTGTGTAATATTGCTAATGTTTGCAGGCAGTTGGCCGGATGCCACGGTTACATGGCTTACATATCACTGTACTGCTTTGTGGTATAATGGAATTATCTGTGACCAGCGGGCCTCTTTAAACTTGTAAAAATATTTTAAGAATGGATATTTAGTACTTGTGAATCACCCAACGGTCAGTGTTCACCAAATTTTCATCTTGGCCACAATACATATAAATAGAAAGTCTTCAATTAAATTTTTTCCTTTAGTCAAATTGAAAATTTGTGTTTAATGAAAAAAAAGGTCTCTTTCCAAATTCTATTTATGATGAATACAAGAATAGAATACAATACCTGATGTTTGCTGATATAGTTGTAAACTTTCATTGGAGTAAGAATAAGATATTCATTTGTTAGAAGGTAATACTGTGCCATAGAAAAAGAAACATTTTACAGGTGGGGCAGCCAATGCCCTCAGAATTCTAATGTTATTTCCTCCTTGTTTACTTGGTTGTTGATTTAATAGGATAAGTACATGTCAGAATTTGTTATGGTCCAAAACAACACGATGGCATTTCCTACCATGTAAACATCTGCCCTGCAGATAGAGCAGAAGAATTGTACCTGCAATCCCCATTGCGTGATTTGCAAGAGACAACTAAATGTGTGATCTGATCTTTTCAATTTTTTTCTAATCAACTTTCCCCTTAGTTTTTTCTGTTGACACTACCTTAATTTTGGCCATTAGCTTAGGAATCACCTCTATAGAGGAAGGCTTTGTTTTCTGTCCCCTGGTTGAGACATACAGAGTTTTTGAAAATGGTAGTTACAACTCACCTTGTATACCTTGGGGACTGTCCTAAACGACCATAGCTGTTAACAGACATTAGGATAGGTGAAATCAGGAATGAAAGAATCAGTTAAATGAGAAGGTTTGTGGGTCATAGGTCGTAGGTCGTTTAAAGAGGCATATAGTTGATGATGATCAATTGGTCAGAGTTCCCTATAAGGAAATGGTTTGTAGGTCAGAAGTCTTGAAAAGGTTAATGTAATTATAAAGGTCAAAGGTCTTTATAAGAAGAAATTTACAGGTCTCATTTTCAAGAGAAAGTTTACAGATGAGGGCCATTATAAAGAGGTAGTTTGTTGGTGATATGGTATTTATGTAGTGCTGCAAGTGCATGATTTTATTGGACTCAAAGTATGTATAGGATGGAAATTCTAGATGTACAATAATATATCACAAAGAAAATTCATGAAGACTATATATATTTGTAGGTTCAATTTTATACAAGATGGTACAAACCAAATGAAGGTTTGTTTACTCAAGAAACCTGTGTTAATTTAGGTTTTCACAACTTGTGCTCTATTTCTGAAACCATACTTGGATAGACCTATTAGACATCTTTGTCACTTCAGAAAACATGCCTAATGTTAAACTTTTGTTTTACAGGAGTCTATTGGAGGACACAATGGCTACATCAAGATTGATAAGTCACGTAAGTTTAATTTAAAATTTATTTTCTTTAATGATGCTCCCTTTTGCAAATTTTCACTGACCCTGATGAACTGAATGTCAAAACCTTAGGAATAAATTTGATGAATTTGTAATTTTCGATTTTGTGTTGATAGCTTAACATCTTCACCGGTCTTTACCGTCATAGTACCAGCTGTTACAGGACATTGTACTAAACTGTATATTGATCTTGATATCTGAACTCATTGGCATACCTGTCAGTCAGACTGATCTAGTCTTTATAGATTGTTGGAGTTTAATTTCATTGTGGTAATGAAAGATGTGAAAATCTCGGTACATTAGAACTTTTCAGTACATGATCAGCTGTTGAGAGAGATGGTATATGTATGATTTCTGATGTATTTTATGTTTGATGCATATATAACATATATTAAGAGTGAATTTTTTCCATTACAGAACTCATACAGAATCGTAAACAAAGTATTGAAATGCCAGTGCAAAATGGCTTTACAGACAGTACAAGTGAAAGGTCTGATAGTCCGCAGTGTTCACTTCCCAGTCGGACGATACCCAACGATACATCTGTGGTGAATGTAATACCGGTAACCAATGGTGATCAGATTCCTCCACCAGTGCCTCCACGGATACCGATAGTGTCAAGTAGTTCAGCACTGGGTGTCAACCAAACCACACCAGTGAACAAACAAATTATGATGGAAGGACCGCAACTAAATAACCACCATCACATGGTCAACCAACAGCTGTCATCTCGACCGTTAAACATGATTCAGTCACCTGGTGATATGCAGCAAATTATTCCAGGACAACCGCATATTAAACACAGCACAAAGTTAAACCAACTACACCATCAACAGCAACAAGCACAAGGCCTTGCACATGCAGGGCATATCACACCTCAACGGCGGAGTCCGGTCAACAGTGTGGGCCACCAGCCCGTCATTGTACAGAGACCTACAGGACAGTTGGTGACAATATCAAACCCGAATGGAAGAGGTTCTGGTGGTCAAGGGCAGATAACTATCCGTTATTCCAATCCACCACCTCCATATAGTCAGCATCCGGTGAGCAGATCACCAGTAGTAAACATATCAAATCAAGGTCATACGGAACAGTCACACCTTATTTCATCCACAGTTCCTCCTGTGTATCGGCCTACTCCAAGATACGAGACTCAGATCACTGTTAATAACACTGTACCGGGTTCGCTCACTGGATCGGATAATGTTCTCAAAAAGACTGCTCTCTCTCCAGCACAATCAATGGCTTACTGTACTAAGCCGGAAATTGTGTCGGAAACAGTTAAGAGTAAAAAAGTGACTAAACCTAAGCCTATGACGGCAACAATACCTATGTCCCCGGCCCAGTCTCCTGGACCAAACTACATTTCGCATTCACAGGGCACCAGCTACGTAACATCACAGCCATCTGCACAGTCACGTGGTACAAATTATGTGACATCACAGTCACCAGGTACAAATTATGTGACGTCTCAGTCACCTGGTACAAATTATGTGACATCACAGTCTCCTGGTACAAATTATGTGACATCACAATCTCCTGGTACAAATTATGTGACATCACAATCACCTGGTACAAATTATGTGTCGTCTTATGAAGCGAAAGTAGGAGTGCCAAGCCCACGACCACCGACTCCTGAAGTTCAAATAAAAATCAAACATCAGCCACATATCGTGCAACCAAAGTCATCGATGATGCGTCCTGACCCCATGCACCCTCATATCGGAGGTCAAGGTCATGGAGGCCAGCCACAGATTCAGATAAACCTTGGACAGCATGGTCCCCACTTTGCTCGTAGTGTTGTGGTACAGCGGGGTCAGGGACCTTACGATTACATCAGACGCCCTCTGGACACTCCGGGGTCAACCCCAAGGTCAGACTCTCCCATATCCTTACGAGGCACAAACCAGTCACCCATGTCAACCACATCAACGAGTAATTCAGATATTCCAGAAAGACTTTCAGATAAAATCCCTGATAAACCCCCTCCCCCTTACCCTGGGAAACAGAACAACAAGGCTCATTTACCCCCTCATGTGCAAATAGTGACTCCATTCGCTCAACATCCACCTCCATCTCACCCTCAGTTGCAAATGAGTTATCCAATTCATTTTGGTCAAATTCAAGGGCAAAATCAGGAACAGCCCCCATTGCCACCAAGAGTGCCTATACTAAATAGAATTTCTCCAGAATCTTCGGACACACCTCCACCTGTGCCAACAAAAGGAACGGGAGTGATGTCCCCTCCACCTCTTCCTCCCCATTCCACAGGTAAACAGTCAAGGGGAAGTTCTCAAAAAGTTAACGGTGCAAGTAAAAATGAACAAAATGATGAAACAGATGAAACAACATCAACAGTTTCTGACACAAGTAGTTGTAGTCACTCGGAAAAAACAAGGTGCACATCTCCAATGCCAGAGCGAAAAGCTGATGCTAAAGAAAAGGACTCTTTACGTGGTGAAACTCTAGTACGGAACTATTCACCGCAGGCATTCAAATTTTATATGGAACAACATATAGAAAATGTGTTAAAATCTCACAAAGAACGAGAAAAAAGACGATTGCAATTAGAACGTGAAATGTCGAAAGTTGGACTGTCTGAAGAAGCTCAGCACCAAATGAGGCGCATGCTTCATCAGAAAGAATCCAACTATATCCGATTAAAAAGAGCAAAAATGGATAAATCCATGTTTGAAAAAATAAGTTCATTAGGTGTCGGGGCATTTGGAGAGGTGGCCCTGGTACAAAAGAAAGAGGTCAATCAACTGTATGCAATGAAAATGTTAAGGAAAAGCGATGTGTTGAAACGTAACCAGGTGGCTCATGTGAAGGCGGAGCGGGATATATTAGCTGAGGCGGACAATGAGTGGGTCGTGAAACTCTACTATTCCTTCCAAGATCGTGATAACCTGTACTTTGTGATGGACTATGTGCCAGGGGGAGACCTCATGGGTCTTCTTATCAAACTAGAAATATTCGAGGAACCTCTTGCTGTTTTCTATATTGCAGAATTAGTGCTAGCCATTGAAAGTGTGCATAAAATGGGGTTCATACACAGAGACATCAAACCAGACAATATTTTAATTGACAAAGATGGACACATGAAACTAACTGACTTTGGATTATGTACCGGGTTTCGATGGACACATAATTCCATGTACTATCAGCCACAAGGTGAGTAAAATGTACAAGAAAGTAGTACAATGTAACAGACTTTTGTGTTGTAATGTATGGTTTAAAGTTGTATATGACATTGTAATGTTGACAAGCTATACTACATCTCACCTATAGAAACAGGTACATTGTGTTACTGGTACATTATGTTATCAGTGGAAACAGGCACATTATGTTACCATAAGAAATAGGCACATTTTGTTACCAATAGAAACAGGCATATTATTTTACCAATAGAACAAGTATTTTATCGATAGAAACAGGCACATTATGTTACCATTAGAAACAAGCACATTATGTTACCATTAGAAACAGGCACATTATTTTACCATTAGAAACAGGCACATTATGTTACCATTAGAAACAGGCACATTATGTTACCATTAGAAACAGGCACATTATGTTACCATTAGAAACAGGCACATTATTTTACCATTAGAAACAAGCACATTATGTTACCATTAGAAACAAGCACATTATGTTACCATTAGAAACAGGCACATTATTTTACCAATAGAAACAGGCACATTATGTTACCATTAGAAACAGGCACATTATGTTACCATTAGAAACAGGCACATTATGTTACCAATAGAAACAGGCACATTATGTTACCAATAGAAACAGGCACATTATGTTACCAATAGAAACAGGCACATTATGTTACCATTAGAAACAGGCACATTATGTTACCAATAGAAACAGGCACATTATGTTACCAATAGAAACAGGCACATTATGTTACCAATAGAAACAGGCACATTATGGTACCAATAGAAACAGACACATTATGTTACCAATAGAAACAGGCACATTATGTTACCAAGAGAAACAGGCACATTATGTTACCAATAGAAACAGGCACATTATTTTACCAATAGAAACAGGCACATTATGTTACCTTTTGCACTTCTTCTTTACTTATGTATAAATTGTATGTTTTAGGAATGTTTATATCTGCTGGTACATAGATAGATTTCAGTACATTTTCATTGTCTTCCTATCCATGATATAAGTAATGTGATTGTTTGTCAGCAGTTTAGGGCAAAATCTTCAGGATTTTAAACCAGTCAATATATTGTAGCTTTTAATCATATTTGTAATATAATATTGTGGTGTGGACGTCTCTTGTGATAAAATTGTAGCCACATACTCAAAAGCAGCAGAACTTTGTTTATGTTAGGTAAATGTGAGAGTATAAATGTGCTTACTATTGGCCCAGAAGACATAAATGGGTTATGTAAGATTTATTAGTATAGAGAATACATTTAGATGCTTAGCCTGTAAGGTTTCCCATTGTTAGAGAACATATTTAGATATATATCATGTTCAAGGACAATGCCCGCGATTTAAGCAGATTCAATCTGGCAATTCAAAATTAAGATTAAAATTTCTTTTGGTATTATATACACAAGTTTTTAATCTCTTTATGAGTTATTTTAAGAAATGTTCTTGCCCTTCTTTTCAAATTTCCAGTAGAATAAGTCTACAAACATTTAATGATATTTAATTGTACACGTTCATGTGTTATGAATTGTTATATTCTCAGAATGCATGTTCTGTACTGAAAATTCACAGATTATTGAAATAGTAAGGTTTGTTTTGTAATGTTTCTTTCTCACTGAGCTCATTTAAATGAATATATACTACATTATACAATTGCTTCTCTGGGTAATCCTCATCTTGTACATATTGAACATACTCCTTATTCTCAGCTTTAATGAGTGGAGTGTTTTTCCTTATTAAATTGAGTTTAATACTGTGTTTTGATAGACCCAGTAATTAAGAATTCATTTAAGGTCATTATCAATGGGACTAACTGATCCAGATCTTGTTGTTACACTGGGACACACTTATCTAAATCTTTGTTACACTGGGACACACTTATCTAAATCTTTGTTACACATGGGACACGCTTATCTAAATCTTTGTTACACATGGGACAAGCCTATCTAAATCTTTGTTACACATGGGACACGCTTATCTAAATCTTTGTTACACATGGGACACGCCTATCTAAATCTTTGTTACACATGGGACACGCTTATCTAAATCTTTGTTACACAAGGGACAAGCCTATCTAAATCTTTGTTACACATGGGACACGCTTATCTAAATCTTTGTTACACATGGGACACGCTTATCTAAATCTTTGTTACACAAGGTGGGACTAACTGATCCAGATCTTGTTGTTACACTGGGACACACTTACCTAAATCTTTGTTACACATGGGACAAGCCTATCTAAATCTTTGTTACACATGGGACACACTTACCTAAATCTTTGTTACACATGGGACAAGCCTATCTAAATCTTTGTTACACATGGGACATGCTTATCTAAATCTTTGTTACACATGGGACAAGCCTATCTAAATCTTTGTTACACATGGGACACGCTTATCTAAATCTTTGTTACACATGGGACAAGCCTATCTAAATCTTTGTTACACATGGGACACGCTTATCTAAATCTTTGTTACACATGGGACAAGCCTATCTAAATCTTTGTTACATAAGGTGGGACTTGCTGATCCAGATCTTGTTACACATGGAACTAGCTGATCTAGATCCTTGTAACAATCTTAGTGGAATAAAGAAAGGAAAGAAACTTCAATAATAATGTAGAAATCATTTAAGTAGAAGGTGTTAGGTTGGCTGTCAAATGTCATGTAGAACCAACCTTTTGCCTTAACACACCTGGAATTTGTCCATTAACCAGTGGGTACTGGTGTGTTGAGGACTACTTCATACTACAACATGGTTCATGACTCAAGTGTAACTAGGCTACATGTGCTGTGTGTAGGTGTCTTATTTAGATCTGTCTCTACCTACAAAATTATTGTAGACCTGAAGATAACTGCTGACCAAACACAGCTGACCGAGATATTAGATGGATTGCATTCCGCAAGATCTGTGGCTGGTCAGTAGCATCACTGAGATTTATGGTGACCATGGTCAGTGGTTATCTCTTGTATAAAACAAGCAGATAATTGTATTCTGTAGTTTGTTTACAATTATGTTCTGTCGAGTCTGTCAATTAATTCCTTGTACCCTCAATCCCTTTAAGGTGAAGAGAAAAATATTTCCCTTCCATATCTCAATACACACTTGTAGAGGGTGACAAATCAGCCTTATTAATCCCACTACATGATTGTAAAAAATGACCCTGCTGCTGAATGGACCAGACAAAGTTGTATCCTTTTCAGCATAGGACATAGGAAAATATCCACTATGATAACTATGATCAGGGGGATTATCTGTTTGATAAGTAATACCAAGGGGAGTACCAGTATGATAAGTGGGGGATTATCTGTTGGCTATTACCAAGGGGAGTACCACTATGATAAGTGGGGGATTATCTGTTGGCTAATACCAAGGGGAGTACCACTATGATAAGTGGGGGATTATCTGTTGGCTAATACCAAGGGGAGTACCACTATGATAAGTGGGGGATTATCTGTTGGCTAATACCAAGGGGAGTACCACTATGATAAGTGGGGGATTATCTGTTGGCTAATACCAAGGGAGTACCACTATGATAAGTGGGGGATTATCTGTTGACTATTACCAAGTGGAGTACCACTATGATCAGAGGGGATTATCTGTTGACTAATGCAAAGTGGAGTACCACTATGATAAGTGCTGTATTACCCATGGAGTAATGTCAAGGAGAGTAACACTATGGTTAGTGTGGGATTACAAATTGATACCAAGGGGAGTAGCACTATGATAAGTAATGTATAACAAATTAATGTGAAGGGGGTAAAATTATATTAAGTAGGGGGTATGGTAACACTAGGTCATTCAGATACACCTTATCTACTTTCATTATGCTATTTTAAGGCACATTAGGAACACTGTCCATTATGTAATTCTTTGGAATTTCCTGTGTCCTCTTTTAGTCTTCAAATCCTCTGATCTTTTGTAGAAAAATGTTACTGGTGAATCTTACGTGTATGAATATTAGGATTGTTGGCATATATGTACTGCCGTTAAGTTATAGGTTTAGTGCTGTTTATAGTTGGCTGAATATTTATGCATGTATGCACACATTCTGTGAAAAGGACGGCGGAGTTGTTTCCTATGGTCTAGAGTTCAGTTGGTAAACACACCTGGATTTTTCGATCGAGTAAATAGTAAATATTCGCAGATTTTTATCGTCATTAAAATTCATTACACTTAGTGTAACAAACAACAAAAATTATCCATTAGTGAAGAGCAGGTTTTTATTAGAGATAACATTTTCAGAATTGCTGTGAATTTTCCGAATGACATGGCTTGCTACCTTTGTCTGAGAGGTATTTAAAACTACAACATGGCTGATATAATGTGATCTGTATGCATTCTGAATGCCTTTGTTAGTCGGGTTAAGTTGACCTCAACTAGCAGTCTTAATGGGTATAGGACTATATGCTATCTAAACTTAAAACAGAGATGTTCAGGCTTGGGCATTCATACATACTATTGAAATTGGCTATAATGGTAGCTTTGTGAGGTGACAATACTGAGGCTATGTGTACCCAAGAGTTGGTTCTGTATAACGTATGTAGGTGTAGGCCTTTCATGTACCCCACATTCCATTGCTGGTCTTTGTTGGGAGTAAACAATCATATTTTACAATACACTATAGCCTAGATTCCTGGTACGCATCTTATAGTCATAATATAGCAAAGGCCAAACCAATATAAATGTTGATTTATTTCATAATGTATGTATGTACCTACAGGATATAATTAGAAATAAAAGACAATATCGGACAACTGTTTGTCACACATAAGAATGTGTAATTAGTCATAGGAGAATGATGGAATGATATGTATCATAATGTGTAATGAGTTGTAACATCTCTTGTAATGAGTTACAACATGTGTAATGGGTCACAACATAATGTGCCATGAGTCACAAGATTTTAAGTAACAGGTCATAACATAATGTGTAAGGAGTCATAACATAATGTGTTATGGGTCACAGCATGATGTGTTATGGGTCACAGCATGATATGTTATGGGTCACAGCATGATGTGTTATGGGTCACAGCATGATGTGTTATGGGTCACAGCATGATGTGTTATAATTCACAGAATAATGTGAAATGAGTCGCAACATAATGTGTAATGAATCAGAACAAAATGAGTTAAAGTCACAACACAAAATATTAGCAAGTATTACATAATGTGTAATGAGTCACAATATAATGTGTAATGAGTCATAAGATAATGTGTAATGAGTCAATATAATGTGTAATGAGTCGCAATATAATGTGTAATGAGTCACAGTATAATGTGTAATGAGTCATAATATAATGTGTAATGAGTCATAATATAATGTATAATGAGTCACAATATAATGTGTAATGAGTTACAACACAATTTGTAATGAGTCAAATCCTGTTAGTCAGATTATGATCCAGTGAGTTAAAGCAACTACTGTAAACATACTCAGGGGGAAATCTCATTATAGCTTATTGCATGCTGAAGACACAGTGGTGAAATATTATTCTGTTAATTGTAGTTTGTGTATGCTACTTATACAACAATAATGTTGATTCATCATTACATTAATTTACACAAAGGCAATAATGCACTAATGCATTGTCATTATGAGAATTAATTATGTAATGAATGCTTTCTCCAAGAGGTACTTATATACAATCAGTCAAGGGGAGAAAACAGCCTTTATAAACAGGTGGTCTTTATAGACACTCAAGGGATTAGAGAAAACAGCCTTTATAAACAGGTGGTCTTTATAGACACTCAAGGGATTAGAGAAAACAGCCTTTATAAACAGGTGGTCTTTATAGACACTCAAGGGATTAGAGAAAACAGCCTTTATAAACAGGTGGTCTTTATAGACACTCAAGGGATTAGAGAAAACAGACTTTATAAACAGGTGGTCTTTATAGACACACAAGGGATTAGAGAAAACAGACTTTATAAACAGGTGGTCTTTATAGACACTCAAGGGATTAGAGAAAACAGACTTTATAAACAGGTGGTCTTTATAGACACTCAAGGGATTAGAGAAAACAGCCTTTATAAACAGGTGGTCTTTATAGACACTCAAGGGATTAGAGAAAACAGCCTTTATAAACAGGTGGTCTTTATAGACACTCTAGGGATTAGAGAAAATGGACTTTATAAACAGGTGGTCTTTATAGACACTCTAGGGATTAGAGAAAATGGACTTTATAAACAGGTGGTCTTTATAGACACTCAAGGGATTAGAGAAAATGGACTTTATAAACAGGTGGTCTTTTCATAAAGGTTCAGCTACTATGAAATGTATATTACATCAGGAAGTGAAAGACATGGATTCTAGACAGGAATTTGTTGACAGGTTTAATTGTACTACTGTCACTGTTTCTAGCAAGTCAACAACTGTTATAATCATTATGTTTTCTTCCTTAGTTTGTCACCCGCTCTTAGCTCATTTCATATCTGTAGAGTTGACTGACATTGTGGTAGGGGGTTTGGCAGCTGATTCTGGAGCTCTGGTCTGATTCTGGGATATTGGTCTGATTCTGGGGCTGTTTGCTGTCCATTTCTCACATCACTGCTGTTCTGTCTTATAGGAGCTCATATCTGACTTTTAAATGTTAATTGAAAATTGTTTCTCTTGATATGACAGGGCACCACCTTAGACAAGATTCTATGGACGTAAATTTTACATCGGAAGTAGAGTGTAAGTGTGGGCAATCACAACCCCTAAAGCCCCTAGAACGGAGACGAAAACGCCACAACCACCGCTGTCTCGCACACTCTCTCGTCGGCACCCCCAACTACATTGCTCCTGAGGTCCTTGCTGTCAGTGGTTCAGGTAATGTATCAGACATCAGATATAAGACAACTATATATGCCACAATTCTAGTGAAACTGTAAATGACTTTACCTGGTACCGATGTTCCACAAGTCATTATTATACATGTGGTAATTCATTGCATTAGATTATGAATTGCTGTATTTGTAGATCCTCTAAAGTTATCAGAACATTGAAGTTACTATTTCAATGACACAGTTTGTTCTGTATAAATCAACTGCAGGATTTCAGCTTTTTTGTAAATAAGGAACTAAGGATTTATTCAACTTACAAATTTGAAATCCAGCAGGAAGTGAATACTGTCTCTTGCCTAATTATCAAGCCAGACAGATAGTTTAAATGGTTTGTTGATAAAGATTATCAAATTAAATCCCTATTATGAAGCAATTTAAAATGAGGTGAAACAAAATCCAAATTGTACTAAATTGTCCTTTAAGATTCATGTATTATGGGTTCATTTTATGGCTAATAGTCATGGCATGGGCTTATTGCAGAATAAATGTAATTCCACTGGCTTGTGATTTGGGCTTATTGTCTGATATATATAGTAGTGGTAAGCAGGATCCTATTATAAATTAATTTATTGTATCAATATTTAGTTTTGTGTATGGGTAGGATGTAGATGTCCTTGCTTGTTTAGATACAGTGCACCATTTCAATAGCCCTGAAGAGGATCAGTAGTGTGTAGACAAATCAATAGATATATGGATTATCATTAGCTTTCTAGGAATTAGTGCCAATCAATGTCCAAGTATTAGCTGTTTACAAGGCATATATCATCATGGACAGAAAGTGGCATGTTTGTTTCCAGGAAACATGACGTCACATGATTTATTAGGTTTTAAACTTATACAACATGCCATAGGATTGTGATTGGTATATAGTTATAACAATATTGTAATGATAATTTCAGGGTACACGAAGTGCTGTGATTGGTGGAGTGTGGGCGTGATTTTGTACGAGATGTTGGTGGGACAGCCTCCCTTCTACGCGCCAACGCCACAGGAAACGCAAATGAAGGTAACCATGGTATCAAGATATATTGTTAATAACTCTTAGCAACGTAAATGCTAAATATACCTACAAAAATTTTACCTAATAACGACACAGCACGTACCTTACACACCGGCAAGATTGATTAGATCGATCAGAAATTATGTGTGACTAACTCAGATCAGGTTTCTTTTGGGATGTTTACTGGGCGACACATTCACTTTTCATGGTGCATCAGTGACGTAAAACAAATCTAGACATACTTATCACTTCTGTATAATATTCGTGATATCATATCTTTCTTGTGACATTGAATTAAAAGGTCAGGGTTACAAGTACATGTTCTGGAATTCCCAGCATTTTCTGTCATATGCTTTATTTTGCCTTAAGGCTTGACCACAACAAAGGCTTGGCAAGTCTTTGTTGTGTACCATAATAGAGGGACATAAGGAACAGTATATTATCCCTACTGTGAGGATCTCTCTTCCTGTGCACTTGGTACCCTCAGGACAAATTACCCCTTCTCTTAGATCTCCTCAATTTTCCAGAAAATCATGGTCAATTAACCAAACAAGAGATTGTGAAGGGCACATTATTTCTGTCCACACCGCCATGAAAACAATACTCCGTCATTGTAATTGATACAGGTAATCAATGAAAAATTATACACGGGACTGTGGAAAATCAATAAGGAAGCATATTGTGGTATGTGTGGCCATAAAATGATTTTATCAAACCCTAATTAATATTCGAGATTCTTTTGCCAGCTGCTCAGGTTGTAGCACAAAGAATTATTCAACAAATCTCCCCATGTTTGCATTCAGGTAATGCATTGGTATGGATCAGCTTGAAAACAGACCTAGTCTTTCTCACTTCAATAACTAAGCAAGTGTCAAATGAAGCACAATTGTTAATATTTTAATTTCCTGTTTAATGGCAGTTGGAGACGTTTTGATATCTGATTAAAGCTACATCAGTCAGATCATAGAAACAGACGTTTAGTATAACTGTAATGAAGGATAGATCTATTGTCAAGATAATCCAGAGATAGAATTAGTAGAGATTCTAGTACCCAGTCTTGTGAATGGATAGATACCTGATGTGTGTATAAATTCTAGTACTCGGTCTTGTGAATAGATAGATACCTGGTGTGAGCATAAATTCTAGTACTAAATCTTGTGAAATTGATACATACCTAATGTGAATAGATAGATACCTGATGTGAGTATAAATTCTAGTACTCAGTCTTGTGAATAGATAGATACCTGATGTGAGCATAAATTCTAGTACTCAGTCTTGTGAAATTGATACATACCTGATGTGAATATAGATTCTAGTGTCCTGTTTTGTGAAATTTAGCTTTCTCGTAGTAACTATCATAGAAACTGAATCATACTTGTCAACTGTTGTTGTATCAAATATAAGTACATTATACTTGGTTATTTGTGCAATTTTTTTTAGAATAATGTCTTATTTTTATTTAAGACTTCCCAATAAAGCATATGTATAACCATAACAAATTTAAATGGAAGGTTTGTGGGCTTATCCTGACTGGGAAGTGATACAATACTTGTATATGTAATTGTCTATTTATTTGTTCGGGTAGCTATGAAGTTTGGTGACCGAGATTTATAAATAAATGAGACATCCAAGGTGTCTTTATGGATCGATGAGCATGAAACACTGACCTAGATGTGTACAAAAATCTGTCTCGAGTTAGAATGTTAAGATATAGGTGGGAAGAAAGATTTGGCACAAATTCATACAAAAAAAAGGTGACAGGTGAATGGCCTTGCCCTGTATCTGTTACATTCCTTTGGGGAATGTTGTCTCCTTTGTCGGGGAGAAATTATCAGCAATTGAATTGGCCTGTTTGTCGATGATGTCATTCTGACAACCTCTTGTTTTGTGCCTAGTGAGACCCCCTACTCTGAATTTATGAAATTTGGCATACCTTACAGATTGCCAGTGTGGTAATTTTTGGCAGAACAAAACATTGATTAGGGAAAAACAATAATTTGTACCACCTTGGGACAGCTTCATCATAAGGAACAAAATTTAGGTATCAGCTTTCTGATAGTGGGCGTCTGTAAAGAAAATAAGTCTACAGGCTTACTAGGCTATCTTACACAACTCTTGGGAAGAGATTGAAACTACTTTACATATTCACAGAAATTTTTTTTTTTCTGTTGTGATGTATACTTCATCCTCAGCACTGTGAAAGATTTGGCTTGTCACTGAAATTTGAATGAAACTAAACTAATGTTCAAGGTGATGTATTATGACAAGTAATTTATTGTCTCACTGATATTACCGAGGCCTAGACTTGACAAGATGTAATTAATATCAGTCTCGGATCTGTCACCAAAAACAGCTGGTGCATATTCAACACGTGAAATTCGTCAAGATTTATTTCTAATATATAACACACATCTCCTGCTTAACAAATTACATCACACCTGAATGTCTGTTTTAGTAGACACCATTATTGACATAGTAACAAAGTGCTCAAAGTTTTAACTTCGTAGTAAATGAAATTATGTGCATAGTAGAGGTTTATGTATCTTGGTACATAGCAAATAGTGCAACTGTCCCAGACAAAGGTCCTCGCTACTGTTTTGATGTAACTACTGTCCCAGACAAAGGTCCTGGCTACTGTTTTGATGTAACTACTGTCCCAGACAAAGGTCCTAGCTACTGTTTTGATGTGACCACTGTCCCAGACAAAGGTCCTAGCTACTGTTTTGATGTGACCACTGTCCCAGATAAAGGTCCTAGCTACTGTTTTGATGTGACCACTGTCCCAGACAAAGGTCCTAGCTACTGTTTTGATGTGACTACTGTCCCAGAAAAAAGTCCTAGCTACTGATTTGATGTGACTACTGTCCCAGACAAAGGTCCTAGCTACTGTTTTGATGTGACAACTGTCCCAGACAAAGGTCCTAGCTACTGTTTTGATGTGACCACTGTCCCAGATAAAGGTCCTAGCTACTGTTTTGATGTGACCACTGTCCCAGACAAAGGTCCTAGCTACTGTTTTGATGTGACTACTGTCCCAGAAAAAAGTCCTAGCTACTGATTTGATGTGACTACTGTCCCAGACAAAGGTCCTAGCTACTGTTTTGATATGACCACTGTCCAAGACAAAGGTCCTAGTTACTGACTTGATGTGACAACTGTCCCAGACAAAGGTCCTAGCTACTGTTTTGATATGACTACTGTCCCAGACAAAGGTCTTAGCTACTGTTTTGATGTGACTACTGTCCCAGACAAAGGTCCTTGCTACTGTTTTGATGTGACTACTGTCCCAGACAAAGGTCCTAGCTACTGGTTTGATGTGACTACTGTCTCAGACAAAGGTCCTAGCTACTGTTTTGATGTGACTACTGTCCCAGACAAAAGTCCTAGCTACTGTTTTGATGTGACTACTGTCCCAAACAAAAGTCCTAGCTACTGTTTTGAGGTGACCACTGTCCCAGACAAAGGTCCTAGCTACTGTTTTGATGTGACTACTGTCCCAGACAAAGGTCCTAGCTACTGTTTTGATGTGACTACTGTCTCAGACAAAGGTCCTAGCTACTGTTTTGATATGACTGCTGTCCCAGACAAAGGTCCTAGCTACTGTTTTGATGTGACAACTGTCTACAACAAAGGTCCTAGCTACTGTTTTGATGTGACTGCTGTCCCAGACAAAAGTCCTAGCTACTGTTTTGATGTGACAACTGTCTACAACAAAGGTCTTAGCTACTGATTTGATGTGACTACTGTCCCAGACAAAGGTCCTAGCTACTGTTTTGATGTGACTCCTGTCCCAGACAAAGGTCCTAGCTACTGTTTTGATGTGACTACTGTCCCAGACAAAGGTCCTAGCTACTGTTTTGATGTGACTACTGTCCCAGACAAAAGTCCTAGCTACTGTTTTGATATGACTGTCTAAAAATTTAGCCATTCTTGACTCTGATAGCAAGATCAATTTGCCTTCATGACTGTGTACTTAATGTTAATTATATAGATAAAGCTTTATAAATTATTGATAATTTTGATCTGGAATTATGTCGTGTTCATTTTCATTTTTCTTTTTTAATAGGTCATCAATTGGAAACAGAATTTGAAAATTCCGAGGGAGGCCAATCTATCACGAGCAGCTGAAGATCTGATCTTGAAACTGTGCTGTGACCAAGAGACACGTCTTGGTGCAAAAGGTGCCGCCGAGATCAAAGAGCATCCATTCTTTTACTCACTGAACTTTGAGGGGTTACGGAAACAGACATCTCTGTACAAACCCAAAATTAGTCATCCCACGGACACGTCTAACTTTGACCCCATTGACCCTGAACGAGTTAGAGAAAGTGACCCAGACGAGGAAATCAAAAAGCCTGACCATCCGGTCAATGGAAAACATCCCGAGCATGCATTTTTTGAGTTCACATTCCGCAGGTTTTTTGATGATGGAGGACATCCGTATCCCATGAGAAACTGGGAACATGGTATTGAGAAAGAGAGTGACACTGCAAAGGAATCTGAATCCGAGTCATCTAATGCTCCTGTCTACGTATGACATCACATTCTGACTCGGCTGTAAATCTGATCACCTGATCAGAAGTATAGGCGAGTCCGAACACTACAAAAGTTGTCTAAGATAAAGATGGTTTTCACAAAGCTGTTGTTCAAGGTTGAAACTGAAATACATCTTGCTTTAAGTTACAAAATAATATATTAATGCCAATTCATTTCTTGGTTGTAGTTTTATTGTTTTGAATCAAATTGCTTAGCAATGGAATGTGAGTGGAAAGGACTGTTCCCACACCGTGTTATCTAACTCATAAGACCACCCAACACTTTATTGAACATGTGTAACATGATGACGATACAGACAGTTCATCCAAAACAAAATTGAAGAAAATTTTCTAAAAATTAGTCAATATAAGAACTATGATTGAAACTTATTTATTGCATAGTATCTCATCTAAAGACTAGGTAAATCAGAGTTCACCAGAAAATGTGACAAAATCATTTTTGTGACTCCATCTTTATTTGTTAGGGGATCTTGGAGGGAATTTCATATGGGAAAGAAATAGGATGTCATTTTACATGTATAAATCCTATGGACATGCTCAACAGAAATTTGACCTGTGACGATGTTGGAATTTGCCTCTAGGAATCACCTTATACCAGGTATATTGATGATACTGATGGAGATGTTGTACTGTTACCTATCTATGACTAAATGGTATACAGCCTGTTTGACTGGTATCTAAATAGTATCTTAACATACTTGTTCAGTTACGAGAGAGAGAAAGAGAGTGTGTGTGTGTGAAATCTATAAAGAGATACAGAGAGCAAGGGAGAGAACAAAGTTTGTTGTTAGATTTTTGTTTAATTTTGGATCAAATCCAAAGAAAAGATATTATTTCGTACCATTGAAAAACAGTGTTTATAATGTTTATCAAAACAGTCTTTCATCATTGTACAAATCACATCAATTTGACAACACGTTTGTGGACGTCTTTCAAAACTATGCATTTCTTCAGTGAGATGTTTGATCACTGTCAAAACTAGATACCCATGAATGTCAATACACACTTTATTGGTGTTCTAAATATGTTTACACGAAGTCTGTCGAGTAATGTCAGTGACACCGTAACATTTGTTGGATGACCTAAGTGGAAGAAATTTACATCAAGTATTGGGCGTCATAAAAATGATAATTATATTTTAACTTGTGCTGAAATAGTAACAAACTTTTTTTGGACGTTTATTATTTGATATTTCTAGGAAAATATTCCAAAGCTTTTTATAACAAAAAATTATTTTCGAATTGAATGTCATTAAAAGTGATTGCCAGCTACTGGGTGTAAAACTTTCTTCTACAAAGGTGTTCTTATTGTGCAATATCGAGATTTAAGTGCTCTTAATATTGATTCAGGTAATTTGAATGAAGTTTGAATACAAGAGAAAATATTTATATGCAAATGTATATATTTTTCTGGTGAATGATAAAATGTTTGAATTGAGCATAATGATAAAGTAACCTGGAATTTGAAATCCTGTATGTGCTCTTTTCAAAGTGAAGATGATTGAGATCACACATACAGGTAATTTAGAATTTTGATACAGCCCTATTTCTGACGAGACATGTGGGTGTGTGATTTATTGTCAATAGAGCTAGACTCTTACATATGCTTTGAAAACTTTCTAGTCAAGGAAGTGATATTTGTTAACCAGACTGTCTGTGAATTCTTTTATCAGTATTAATAAATAAAGAAAACAACATTTGTAAAATGATTCCATAATACTAAAATTAGATTTAAAATCCCTTTGTTGACACACCCACTTGTCTTTTTGGGGATGACAGGGGAGATCATTCAAAATCTGGACAAAGGCTAATGGCTTTCAGCAAACACTATACAGTCATTTGGATGTGACTCGTCATAATGACACTAAATACTCTTCACTGATGGCAGTTTTACCACTGATGTATCCACAGTTGATGTTGTAAAAGTGATGCCTGTAAAACCTTTGACTTGAGTTTTTCCCAACATCTGTTTGGCAAGAAGTATACCAAGGACTCCTTTAAATTTGATTATTCAGAGTTGGGAAATATGTGTACATATGTACACACTGTGGATCCACAGGGTCAATAATGGGGTCAAAAGATTGGACGAGGAGACGAAAAAAAAATGAAAACTTACCATGATATGTATAATGACATCTAAGTATATTTTTTATTGCTATAAATAAGTAACAGTCTAGAAGGAGATTTTATAAGACCAACAGTTAACACCTGTATCTCCTTCTGTGAGTTCATATAATGAATAATGAATAAATTTCCACCTGATTTTGATGTTTTAGTTCAGTATCACCTACTGCCAGATTGTTATGTTAGAGCTTTCATCCAGTCATGTGTGGTGATCCAACAAACCTGCAAGATTGCTAGCCATTTTTTTTTTTTTTTTAGGTACTTCTTAATTTATAACAAAGAAATATTTGGATTGGTATCACCTAAAAGTGCTTTCATTAAGATGCAGCAATGCACCTGGCCCATGTCTATGTTAAGCTATCTAGTTTTATCTGTTGATCAACATTTTTTACCTGTCCAGGTAATATTACTGTTTGTTGTTTTAGTGTCTGTGACTTATAAAGCAGTTCTAGCCTTTTTACCTGTTTCTGTTTACTGCTAACGCTTCTGTCCTGTTCGTTCTGTTTGTAAATATTTATATATATACTTATATATATATATATATGTATATATATATATATATATATATAGAGTACATTTACCTGTATGTATAATAGTAATGTATAAAAACAAGAAATAAAAAGGGCTTGAGCTTGCAGCTTGTATGCCTAGATTTCCCATGGTGCAACCTATGTACAGTGTAAAGAATTCCTCTTAGTGTGTTGAGCTGTGATGGTGAAGCAAGTGTGCATTGATGTGTGCTGACAGGGGATACCCCATATGTACTGTACATGTGCAAATGTTCAAAGATTGAATGCGAGAGAGTTAGATACAAAATTTTAAATGGTCAGTATATATGTGTACAATGAAAGGTGTGAAGGTTAAATGTGTCGTATAAATGTACGTACGGTCAGTACACTGTGTGTCCGATAAATTGAGCAACTTCGAGGAAATCTGTAATTGTGATCGTGCACACAGCCTACGTGTAAATATTAGTGTGCTCCCCCTACCTACATTGGTAGTCTAGTAGATATATCTGGCCACTCGCAACAGGGGTAACAACTGCCAGGGCTAAAACCATTATACTGGGAATATGTAGGATTAAAACTGGCAATATTCTCAAAATAAAAGATGTCAACATAAACAGTTGTCGCTTCTTTTGTATGAACAAACTGTACACCTACTTGATCATTACAGACAACAAACCATACAGCTACCTGATCATTACTGACAACAAACCATACAGCTACCTGATCATTACGGATGACAACAAACCATACAGCTACCTGATCATTACTGATAACAAACCATACAGCTACCTGATCATTACTGACAACAAACCATACAGCTACCTGATCATTACGGATGACAACAAACCATACAGCTACCTGATCATTACTGACAACAAATCATACAGCTACCTGATCATTACTGACAACAAACCATACAGCTACCTGATCATTACGGATGACAACAAACCATACAGCTACCTGATCATTACAGACGACAAACCGTACAGCTACCTGATCATTACAGACAACAAATCATACAGCTACCTGATCATTACTGACAACAAACCATACAGCTACCTGATCATTACGGATGACAACAAACCATACAGCTACCTGATCATTACGGATGACAACAAACCATACAGCTACCTGATCATTACTGACAACAAACCATACAGCTACCTGATCATTACAGACGACAACAAACCATACAGCTACCTGATCATTACTGATAACAAACCATACAGCTACCTGATCATTACAGACGACAACAAACCATACAGCTACCTGATCATTACAGACGTCAACAAACCATACAGCTACCTGATCATTACTGACAACAAATCATACAGCTACCTGATCATTACTGACAACAAACCATACAGCTACCTGATCATTACGGACGACAACAAACCATACAGCTACCTGATCATTACAGACAACAAACCATACAGCTACCTGATCATTACTGACAACAAACCATACAGCTACCTGATCATTACTGACAACAAACCATACAGCTACCTGATCATTACTGACAACAAACCATACAGCTACCTGATCATTACAGACAACAAACCATACAGCTACCTGATCATTACGGACGTCAACAAACCATACAGCTACCTGATCATTACGGACGACAACAAACCATACAGCTACCTGATCATTACTGACAACAAACCATACAGCTACCTGATCATTACTGACGACAACAAACCATACAGCTACCTGATCATTACGGACGACAACAAACCATACAGCTACCTGATCATTACTGACAACAAACCATACAGCTACCTGATCATTACGGACGACAACAAACCATACAGCTACCTGATCATTACTGACAACAAACCATACAGCTACCTGATCATTACAGACGACAACAAACCATACAGCTACCTGATCATTACTGACAACAAACCATACAGCTACCTGATCATTACAGACAACAAACCATACAGCTACCTGATCATTACAGACAAACCATACAGCTACCTGGTCATTACTGACAACAAACCATACAGCTACCTGATCATTACTGACAACAAACCATACAGATACCTGATCATTACTGACACCTGATCATTACTGACAACAAACCATACAGCTACCTGATCATTACAGACGACAACAAACCATACAGCTACCTGATCATTACTGACAACAAACCATACAGCTACCTGATCATTACAGACAACAAACCATACAGCTACCTGATCATTACAGACAACAAACCATACAGCTACCTGATCATTACTGACAACAAATCATACAGCTACCTGATCATTACTGACAACAAACCATACAGCTACCTGATCATTACAGACAACAAACCATACAGCTACCTGATCATTACTGACAACAAACCATACAGCTACAGCTACCTGATCATTACAGACAACAAACCATACAGCTACCTGATCATTACTGACAACAAACCATACAGCTACCTCATCATTACTGACAACAAACCATACAGCTACCTGGTGATTACTGACAACAAACCATACACCTACCTGATCATTACTGACAACAAACCATACAGCTACCTGATCATTACTGACAAACCATACAGCTTCCTGATCATTACTGACAACAAACCATACAGATACCTGATCATTACAGACAACAAACCATACAGCTACCTGACAACAAACAAACACCTGATCATTACAGACAACAAACCATACAGCTACCTGATCATTACAGACAACAAACCATGCAGCTACCTGATCATTACAGACAACAAACCATACAGCTACCTGATCATTACGGATGACAACAAACCATACAGCTACCTGATCATTACAGACAACAAACCATACAGCTACCTGATCATTACAGACAACAAACCATACAGCTACCTGATCATTACAGACAACAAACCATACAGCTACCTGATCATTACAGACGACAACAAACCATACAGCTACCTGATCATTACTGATAACAAACCATACAGCTACCTGATCATTACAGACGACAACAAACCGTACAGCTACCTGATCATTACAGACAACAAACCATACAGCTACCTGATCATTACAGACAACAAACCATACAGCTACCTGATCATTACTGACAACAAACCATACAGCTACCTGATCATTACTGACAACAAACCATACAGCTACCTGATCATTACTGACAACAAACCATACAGCTACCTGATCATTACTGACAACAAACTATACAGCTACCTGATCATTACAGACAACAAACCATACAGCTACCTGATCATTACAGACGACAACAAACCATACAGCTACCTGATCATTACTGACAACAAACCATACAGCTACTAGATCATTACCTGATCATTACAGACAACAAACCATACAGCTACCTGATCATTACTGACAACAAACCATACAGCTACCTGATCATTACTGACAACAAACCATACAGCTACCTGATCATTACAGACAACAAACCATACAGCTACCTGATCATTACTGACAACAAACCATACAGCTACCTGATCATTACAGACAACAAACCATACAGCTACCTGATCATTACTGACAACAAACCATACAGCTACCTGATCATTACTAACAACAAACCATACAGCTACCTGATCATTACTAACAACAAACCATACAGCTACCTGATCATTACTGACAAACCATACAGCTACCTGGTCATTACTGACAACAAAACTGATAAACATCAAACACGTGCAGCCTCATAGCAACAAAACAAATAATTTATCTGAATGGGGTCACTTTTGCGAACATTATCAACCTGCATCTTTTGGATATCTAATCTTTGGAATGCAGAGTTATTGCAATCCAGAAATGGAAAATTTACAATAGGGAAATTGGAATCATCACTTTTATCATACAGCTTGGTGGAAAGCTGTCCTTGCTGGTTTCATTGTAGGGTCAGATCATGATAACCGGCTGATGTAGGAGAATTTGTTGTGTCCGCTTGATTCTCAGTTCTAGTGGGTATATACGATGGACGTGGTAAATACATTTCTTGTTATTTAGGGACGAAACGTCATCAATGTATCTGAAAGTGAAATTGAAGGACTCGCAAGGTCTTTGTGCTCTGTTTTGATAAGTTCTTCTATACAAGTCAACTAAAAATATATGAACAAGAACCATTTTTAAAAGTAGCAAGAAAGGTACTTTAAAACCCTCCGTAACCTTGTATACTACACGGAGACAATTTGTGAACAGTCTGTCGGATATCCGTGGAAATGGATGAAAGGTTCGGACTTTAATAAGTCGAAGCCAAGGATTTTACGTCGCCAAGTTACAACAGTTTCGAAAGATGCAGATTGATGACGTTCGCCATAATGACCTCAATGATTGAAGTCGCTGCTGCTTTCAATAAGATTCTATTATCTATTTCACTATTTTAAAATCTTATTAAGTGAAACAAAAGGGACACTTAGAAAAAAACTCAGTAAACTTGCGAATGAAGGGATATATCTGAGACCATATTTCAAAAACACGTCAAGCCAACACACCGGTCGGGACTCATTGGTCTAAGGGAAGTAACTCTATTGATTTCTGATGTACGATTTTAAGATATTCTCAGTCAAGTGTTGTAATCTAATGGCTACTATGAAGACAGTTATGGCAAAAATAATTTACAAATATCAGTAAATTATACTCCATCGCATGTTAGTCAATGAAATTCAACATTATTGATAATAATAGATAATAATAGATATGGCGTGAATGGTATTTATGGTTAAATCAGTTTAATAAAAAAATACACTTTCATTTACCATCATAAATAACATGACAACGACAATGTTGCATTCACTTTCTTATTCATTTGGAACGAACCAGTAAGTTAATTTACAAAACAATATGCATATTACCCAGAAATAAATCCAACCTGTAACGATTTCCATTGAATACTTGCATGCTCTTTTTGTAGCCTATGTTTGAGATGAACATGTTACAGGCTTTCTCTTGCCAAACATAGAAAAACAAGTATACATCGTTAACCAAGGAATAATAGATTTTATCAAACACTTTTATTTGTCTTACATAAAACAAATATCAAATGCTCATTACTGCTACGAGATACCGTGTCAATCCAACGATACATCCACGTCATACCTCGAAATTGTGGAGACACAATATGACGTATTGCAGAAACATCATACTGCATTACCGAATATTAATTACAAAATAACAAGGTTACCTTAAGTATTATTTCCATATATCGTTATGAAACGTAAAGTTGGCTGAATTTTTTGTATTTTTTCGTATATCGGATATCTTTAAAAAATGGAACACCTAACTGAGAATGACTGTCTGAGCAATCATATTGCAACAGCACACCATAAGAAGCTGATATGCGGGGAAAATCTTTCCCATGAAAACACATCGATTTCCAGTAAAGAAAAAAGTCTGGAAATTCGATGAGCATAGGATTGGCTTCACTTGAAATATATATTGTAAAATCATTTTATGTAATTTTCAATAGTTCCCCTTGAACAAATGATATTTACTTGACATCTCGTTTCATTTTTTCTTTAAAAAACACGAAGAAACAGTTTTAACTATTGGGACAAGTAAATATTATGACCCTACATTAAACCACAACAGGGATATCACTATCAGAGTAGATCTAGACACTTCAATGATAAGATTCAAGGTGTTTGCTTATCGAACTCTCTCAATTGACAACATAACATTAATAGTTTTTCTTCGCTATTTATAGCGTTTGATAATCAATTCAAAACGAAAAGTTTCTAATGATTCAAATTGACGATCAACGATCCTCGAAAGACTAACTAAGAAATATTACGATTACCATAATCCACCTTTTATCCGGTGAATCTCTCGTGCAGTATTTTATCTACGTCATTATATTGGGGTGGGGGAATCTGAGACAACTAGAGACTTTTTTAAAATCAAATAGTTTATTACGAACTTCAACCAGAGACCAGAAACTACAGCTTCATGGCTTATTCATATGGTTGATCACATAAGGTCTCAAACAGCAAAGGGTTAATGTAGTATATTGGGACTTCAATTGTTTCTTAAATATGTCAACGTCATGCATATTAGTATCAGCTCTGGATGCAGGCTATTGTTATATGCAGATGATAGTACAATACTGTTTTTACACGGTGATGCTGTGGTAATATCTCAGATGCTATCAGAAACTTCAGAATGTTGCCATGACTAGCTTATAGATAATAAACTTTCCCTTCTCGTGGGCAAAACAGATATCATCCTTTTCGGCTCCAGAAGGAAATTAAGAATTATTCCTGACAGATCCTTTATAGTGAAGTGTGATGATCAATGAACTTGAAACTAAGTCAGAAGTAAAATATCAAGGTGTACTTTTAGATGGGTGCCTATCAGGTGAACTAACTGTTAAAGGTATTATTCAAAACGTAAGTCAGACGCTGAAATTTATGTATAGGAACAGTGGCTGCCTGTCTCTAAAAGCGAGAAAAACTCTCATTCAATCCAACTTAAGCTCAAACTTTAAATAACACAAAATAAGGTTTTTTGATTCATATCCATGCTTAGTCCAAGGTCAAGAAATATGTCGAACTGGGCCATCTTAACATGCTCAATGTAAAATTTAGGGCATTGTTAAACAGTTGAAAATGAACCATTTTGTCAACAATGTTCATGATAAATGTCCTTTATCTTAGAGAATCTTAAGTGACAAAAAGTACACTACAAGGGCAAGTTTTAAGTGTTAAGGGGCTAGGGTCATAGTGCTGCCAAAGACTGGAATAAGCTACCTTATAACATTAAACGTGAAAGTTATAAACTTAGGTTCAAAAGACAAGTAAAAAACACTTCATGCAAATATCAAAAGAAGAATTAGAAACCCAATTTATGTACTACACAACATTCCTGTTTCTAATACAACCGAGTTCAATAATCAAAACACGATTATGGAGGTAAGATAAATTGAATAAATACAAAATTCACTATTCAAACTTTTTTCGCTCTGAATCTTATTTCAGACATCAGGGAACCCATCGGAAATAAGTCTTCTGGGCACTGATGGGTCGTCCCAGGTAAAATGACATTTCAATCAGTTAGAAAAACAAATATTTGTTTCTTACAATAATGAAATAATATATATATATAAACGTAAGTTTGGAAACATGTACATTATTTCGTATCTTTTAACATTGTTTCAGGTACTTATTGCTATTTTGCCTTAATCAATATTATTTTTTTTAAATTGTGTAAGACAGGCTATTCATGTATGTAAATCTGACAGGAAATTCTGATTGCTTCCCTTACTTTAACTTTGACCCGGAAGTGGTTGAGACCACGAGTTTTGTAAGTTTTTGATTCCATAACAATTTCGATATGGGGAATGCCATAGGGAACACTGCGAAGCGTACATCTCGGTTTGTGAAGAGATTTAACATTGAGAATCGAGTTAACAAGGTGCTTGACCGAGAAAAACCAGATGTGGCACCAAGACACGAAACTACGTCGAAACTTTTGGAGGAGTTTGCAGCCGGTAAGATTCCGTCCGTAGCGTAGGTCATGTGTCGAGTGTTGATACATCGAGTGAATGGTTAGTTAGCTGTAATCATGGTAACTAATTACATGGTTGATGACATAATCAAACTCAGTTTTGATCAAAATGACCCACTGTCCTATCTACTGTCATATTCGTTTAAATAAAGATACATGAATGGATATCGTTGTTGACCTTGAGGTTCTCTTGCCCCAATGGTCATTTATTTGAATGACAGACAGTTAATGTTTTGAATAATAATTTAGTTACTCAAATGCGGGATAATAAGAAATAGAAATACACAAAGTTCCTTTAAGCATGTAAAACAACAAAAATGACGCAATTTTTTTCAACAAGGCCTAATAACATAGACCGAACATTTCTGTCACTAAAGTGGTAATGTTAGAGACTCTGAAATGAGCACAGTCAATAAAGATGTAAATATCAATAACACCATAATAAACGTGAATGTTGACATTAAAATATCATTGTAGAGACAGAAATTTTCAGTCTGTAAGTATATGTTAACACAAACAGTGAGATACAGGGAAGATCTGCTTGTTTCATAACAGACATCTTAACATTTAAGATGTGACTGACATGTTAGAACATCTTGGTCTCCAGTCACTAAGGTTCAAAATGTAGGAACACAGTCAAAATTACCATATTATATCGAAAATACATAATCAGCTTGTTGCTACAGACTCGCTATCATACATGAAACCTGAGGTAGTTTTTATCAGATCCTCTCATTCATGGTGGACCAGCTCTTTCTAACCAAAACACTTTACTACAAATTCAATTGCTGTCTACACACCATACTACTCTGAAACTTTCCTCCACCAGGCGTGGTATCAGCAGAGTCTCTAAATAAGTTAAAGCAAAAAATTTAGGACATCACCATAGTCAGGTAGTGAACCACCTTTGTTTTTAACACATTATTATTCTCGGATCTAGATCCTTTGATTTCCATATCTTTTATCAAAACAGTGTATTCATGCCATTGTATTTATAAACATCATTGTCAAATGTGAGCATGAATTTAGCCATGTTCTATTTTTAGTGGTATATGTTTTTAGCCACACAATAAGTAATGGAGGTGATAAAGTTTGTGGCTTTTTAAACTTATATAGTACAGATGCCATTGATGATAGTTGGCACTGCCGATCCATTGGAGTTGTTAGTCGAGTCCGTCCTTCACTGAATGTTTCTACTCCTAACTCGGAGCACTCTCTGGATGGTGGGTCCACAGTGGGGATCTGTAACTGTGTTCCAACGGATGGCTTCCAGGTACTCTCCTTTTCTTCATCCACACCCAACTGGAGGCAGGTTCAGCTGCTTGGGCAAGCCTCTGTATTGCTCCTTTCCTCTCCTTCCCCATAACTCTTAGTGCGCTAAACATTCTCCACACTGATTGTGCAGGGAAACCCTTGTACCAAACTTCCATAGGGAAATTCCATGTCTGCCATCCTTGCTCCTGACTCTCTGTCAATAGGTCTTTGTACTTGGCATGTTTCCTTTCATTAGCTTGTCCAAACCTCTCTTCCCACGGTACTGTCAGCTCTACCAGTATCAACTTCTTCTTCTCCTTGGACCACAGTACAATGTCTGGTCTAAGAGCTGTCTGGACAATGTCAGGGAAAGACGAACTACCAATCAGATCCACTTCCATTGTCCACTTGTCCGTTATTTTCAATAGTGCTCCTTTACTGTTGGTTCCCGGCACTAGAATACTCTGTCTTTCCTTCTCAAAGTAGAAGGTAAAAGTGTTCTGTTTGACTACTTTCTTTGTGGCCTTCCTCTACTTTTCCAAAATATTTGCAAGCTCAAGGAATGCTTCATTATGTCTCCACATGTAACAACCCTGAGTTAGTGCCATCTGGCAGCTTGTCAGCACATGGTCCCTCTTTTATCACTCAGCACACATGCCAGGTCTGTTACCAATCCCCTCCTGTGGAGATTATCTGGTGACTGTAAGATGTCATAGACGCAGAACGAACTTCAACTGAAATGATGGATATTGCTAGATGTCCTTTCAAGTTAGTCGTCTCTTCTCTGTGTCCCATCTTGTCCATATGCCCTGCCAGCCCATCTCCACAGACAACAGAATTTTTCACTATTTGTGTAAAAGTGTACAATGTTGCAATGGATATTGGGCCATGTCAAATTGAAAGTTCATTACTAAAATAGAATTAAAGTCAAATAATCATAGTTTATCATATCAGATTTAATCATAATATGTCCCTGATTATATCCATGATAAACAAATGGAGTGCCTCATTATGTGAAAGTTTGATGCCATATCAGAACTCTTTGGCACTTTCTGTGTGAAAAGTGTATTTTTTTCCATGCAAAGGGACAAAGTTCACAAGTTTTAAACTAGTTGAACTGGAAAGTGCTTAACTTAATATATATATTGTTGGTCAAGATGTTTTTTAACTAATCAAGAGGTTGGAAGTCCATTCTTTGATGAATCATGATGGTTTCAGCAACCCAGCTTTTCAAGGAGGACTTTGATATTCCAGGCTGTTGACTAGTTAAAGATATCCTGACCTTCAGAATGTCCTTTCAGGCATTCCTGTGAAGTCTTGGGTTCATCAAATCAACTTCATTAATATTTACATTAATAGTTGGAAATGCATGTTACAATTGCAAAAGACTTTTTAAGGACAAATTTTAAACAAAGCATATTTGATTTCCTGTTTACCCGAATTCAGTTTCAACAGCTAGCTGAGAAAAGTTGAACCAATAAATGTAATTCAGTCGACACAAAAAGCTGTCATTGCTGGCCCCTAGAAGTATACCAAGTGAGCCTTCCTGCATTATGACATCAGGCCCCACTTGTATAAAACATCTCAACTTGAGATTTCCTTAAGTCGAGATTTTCCTCAGCTAATATCTCCTTGAAAATATATTGTATGAAAATTCTTCAAGGAATTTCAGGGCATCCTAGCCGATGACTTCCTCCTGTTCCTTGAGAAAATTTTATACAAGCCGTTTTTGAGGAGATATCAGCTGAGGAAAATCTCGACTTAAGGAAATCTCAAGTTGAGATGTTTTATACAAGTGGGGCCAGGTCAATAAATATTAATGTTTAACATAAAATTTGCACTGTTTAACCAAGGATGTCTCTGGATATGAAATAAATACCAATTACTCCAAGATAGCTAAATTTTGTACACCGCATTTTTGATCACATTTTCATGGTTTCCCTTGGACCCTGAAATTTTATGAATGTACTTGTCCAGGGGCTCGAATCCCACAGGACATAAGAATAAAACTGTATTAGTTTTATGGGTCCTTTGTCAATTTAACGTGTCAAAATGCAGGATTTTGGAAATCCGGAAAACCCTGCATTGTGTTCACTATTTGGCATCGCTTATTTCATATTGCCAGGAACTGTAATTATATAAGGCCTAATATACATAGAATATTGAGGTTGATATTTAAGTTGGGTTAGATGAATTAAATCATGAATGTTCATTTGATACAAAAATGTCAGAAGTTAATCAATCTTACTGATGGATAACTTGATGTGAAATTTACTCAACTGATCTTTTCATTGTTAGCCCAGTGGCCCCACAGTTATCAGATGGTGGACTGTACAAATCGTCTTCTATCCATTGTTCATCATGTAGTATCCATGTGTAAACAATCCTTGTTATTGATATTTCTTAAAGAGTATCTCAAACTATGTATGTAGGTTCCCCTTGGATCCTTCTACTGCCCTCCTTATTTAGGGCTTTATCAGATAAGAGTCCTAAGATGTCAGAGGGTAGTCATCTTGGATTTTGACAATGAAAGATAGTTAGTGCTATTTCTTAAGAAGTGCTGAATGGATCTTTCACAAGTTCCCCTTAGTTCATATTTGTGGCTGTTTAATCTTAGGGGTGATAAAAAAACTACAATGACTAATTGATGGCCAGCTTGCATTTTGACTATTAAGATCGTTACAGCTATTTCATGACAAGTACAGGCTACATCTTTCTCAAGTTTTATGAGTAAATTTCCCCATGTACCTAGTTGTGCTAATTGGATTTTGGGACCAATCAGAAGAAAGAATATGGCACATGTGTTAATGATGTGGATTTGACAATGAAAGGTTGTTGTTGCTATTTTTCCAAAAATACTGGATGTAACTTCCTCATACATAAATTACTCTTACTCTCTTGTTGTGCCCATTTGATTTTGAAACTGAGCAAAAAACATAATGACAGACTGGCAACCATCATGGATTTGACAGTTAAATATTATTGTTGCTATTTCTGTAGATGAATTTTCAAATTTGACATAATTAAGAGCAAAAACAGAGGAAAGAAGAGAAAAAAGGAAAAGATCCAACATTTATCAAACAAATACAGATCAATGGGTTAAAAGATCCACTGGGATCTTCTTGGATGATTGGATTTGTATTTTAAAAATTAGAGGTGTTTTGGAATTGTAGGGGTGAAAGAGCCTATACATGTATTATTAATGTATGTTGAGAATGGTAGATGGGGTAAGGTTTGATTTGGAGTAGTAATATGTAAACAGACAAATGCAAGAAATGATTCTGTTATGTTTATTCAAGTGAATTCTACTGCCTTAATTATCAATTCTCATGCATAAAAACTGAAAAATGATATTGTTGTGTGCATTTTGCAGACAATCCAGAACTATTCGAGGAGCAAAAGAAGAAAAATTTAGATCTTCATGAAAGACTTAAACAGGTTCGACTCGAGTCTACAGGAAGCCTACCTGAGGTAAAAACCTTTTGTTGAAGGATCTACATATTATTGGTTTGAAGTAGACCTAGAATTCTAATGTTGATTTGGAGTTAACTTAAATTTTTTTTGCTGGTGTGGATTAGATCTAGATTTGTAGTGCTAGTATGGAGTAAATGTTTGTTGATCTGGTTATTGCGTCGCTTGCCAGAGGCAACAAATTTTTATTACTATGTTGTCGCCGTCATCTGTTCAAAGGTTTTTTCTGCAATGACTTAGTTCACATTTGCCAATCAACCGCAAACTTCATACAGTGCTTCCTTACTAAAGTGCTTTTTTGGGATAGCTTTTAAGGTCTGAAGGCCAAAGGTCAAGGTCATCATATATACAAGGTCAGGGACAGTATAACCATATATAGGAGAATGGTTTTCTTGTGATTACTTGAGTTTTCTTTGAACAATTACACTCAAACTTCATGGCAGTGCTTCCTTTCTAAAGAGGCTTGCTTAGGATTGCTTTTTAGGTTTGAAGGTCAAAGGTTAAGGTCACTGTTACTATAAATAAAAAAAAATGTTTTCATAAAATAACCTTACCAAAGATACTTGCTTGGGATTGCTCATCAAGTCTAGTGGTCAAAAGTCAAGGTCATTGTAGCTGAAAGAAGATAAGTTTTGGCTTTGTGCGATTATTTGAGTTTTCCTTGGACAATAAGACTTTAACTTCATACAATGCTACTTAACCAAAGGAGTTTGTTTGAGATTGCTTTTCAGGTGGGTTGTCCCTGTTCATGCGGTATTTGGAGCAAATCAGTATTGTTTTTAAAATTCTAATTCTGTGCGTAATTGTGATCTATCCTTGGGATTCAGTTCCCTACGGCACTATACATCTAATATATCAGTTCATTCATCACAAACAAATGGACAAATTATATAAATGGAATAAATATAATGATTATCTTTGGCTATTGTTCCACAAAGCTCTTCTCCAGAAACCTTGCTGTGCAGGAGATATATCCACTTCCACGGAATTCTTGTATATCAAATGTTCAATAAGAAAATATTGAAAATGTGTGATCGACCAAAAAGAGTTCTGCAAAACAGAAATGTTTGGTAGATCTTTAATGGAAATGCGTTTCTTTTTTTGTTTTGTTTTTGTTTGGTTTGACCTGTCTTTTGTACTAAATTGATCGCTATATTTTTACAGATCAAATCGCGACGTCTGCCTGAAAGGAACCGCTTAAACGAACCAACAATTTCAGGATACAGAGGATTTCTAGACCCAGAGAAAGTACCAGAAGGGAAACTTACTTTGAAAAATGCCATGAGGATCCTTACAAAAGTTCAAGAAACGCCTGATTTAGATTCAAATGCAGTGAAAAATATAGCAAAGGAATATAAACTGGATCTACTACAGGTGCAGCAGTTATTGAGACATTTTAAAGCTTTGGAAATGAAATTCCCAGATTCTTTACAGCAGAAACATCCAAGTCTAGCAGAAGATCTTAAAAGAAGGGGACAAAAAGGTGTTGATGATTGGGTTTCTGGTGTCAGATCTGATGCAGAGGCAATAGAATTTTTAAAAGATGAATCTAGGAGTCAGGCGGAAAGAAGACGGGAAAGATTGGTCAGAAAGGCTGCCAGCGGTATCCCTGGTGATGAGGATCATTTAGAAGGATTTGATTGGAAAGAACCTGAAAAAGAACTCAATACAAAAAGAACTGACAAACAAATGCCACTTGACAAAAGCAAGAAGGATAAAGGAGACAGTTGATGATGACACATTGTAGTCTGATATGCCAAAAAATAAACCTCAGTGTAATTTCATACTGAATGAAGTTTCTTTCCCCTTGGCTTGAGATTATCTATTTCCTCAAGAATGGGGTGAATGCTGACTTTATTAGGTATTTGTATGTGTTTTTATTGTTCCACTGCTTTGCATCATTAATGTGATTTAATTGTTGTTGTGACAATGGTGGATTGTCATTGTCCTGACAGGCTGTCCAGGCTTAGATACACCTGTCCAGACTTGGATACACCTGTCCAGACTTGGATACACCTGTCCAGGCTTGGATACACCTGTCCAGGCTTAGATACACCTAGCCTTAGATACACCTGTCCAGGCTTAAAAGATCATTGTCCTTATGACTTTCTCCACATCTCACAATATGTAAGGTTCTATGTATAACTGTAACACTGTAACCTGATGTTAAGTGATTGCCAGACTCTATACCTTGTACATTTAGAAACATTAGATAAAAGAGCAGAGAAAAACTGATTCATCTTTCCAAAGCAAAACTGGGAATGTATGAAGTGTAGGAGAAAGGCTTTCTGGTTATGATTCTGCATGTAATTGTTATCCATTACTTGAGGAAGATACATGGAAAATAGAATCTTTGAGAAGGTGGCAATTCATATCAACCTTTTTAGGTCACCCAAGACAAATTCTCATGGCAATCTATCATGATTGTCTTTTGTCCTGTGTTGTGCTCCCATAAACTTTTAACAATTTCAACTTCTCAAATACCTCTGAATCAGTTTTTTTTTTAAACTTTAGTAGAAAATTTCCTTGGGTAAAGAGTTTACTATAGTTTATATTGGAAAAGTACATTTTTCAGAATAATTTATTTAATTTTCATTGGAAAGAATTTGAACTTGGTTAGAATTATGAGAGAAGGATGACAGGTTATGTTACACATATTGATTTTGGCTTACCCCCAGGGGCTGATGGGCAGGACCAAAAAGGGTGAAATTGACTCAAGTTTCAAAAATCTTCTCAACACCCAGATATAGTATTATCAAATGCCAGTCATTATTTGAAGGGTCTTGAGGTGCTTGAACAAAATTATCACTTTCATGACCCCAGGGTCTTATCCTGTAGGGAGGGGATAAAGTAAACAATAGCTTTTTATATCAACATTTCAATTTTGAGCTTTATATTGTTTAGTTTTCCTTTCCATGGGAAATAACTTGGGAGGAAGTATAACTAAAGGATAACAGTGTTGATGGTGGTATATAATGACACTGGCTCAGATCCCTAAGAGCTTGCAATATTAATTAAGCCTTCCTATCATCAATGTCATAATTTCTTGTTCTTGGTACTTGGAATCTACTCCTCATCCTTTAACCTTTATATTCAATATTGCTTACATCAGGTGATGGTCAAGGCCGCTAGGCTCTTTTATTCTTTTTCCATCTCCAAACATTTAATAATTAAAATTATATCTCTCTTTAGATGGCCATCTTTAGATCACCATAGTATGAATTTCCTGTTGACCGACCTCTAAACTTTCAGTCCCTGTATCATCTAATAAAGAGGAATAGTGATAATCACAATAGATAACAGTTGTGTAAATAAAATGTTTTAAGATGGGTTAGGTGACCTAAAATTCAGGACCAAGTGATGGGCGCCAAGATTTGTGTTTGTAAGGGTTAAATATCATACATCAGACAGGCTTGTATGCAAAGCAAGAAAGGAATATACTGTTATGGAGACAGAAAATATCGTACATTAGCCAGGTTTGTACGAGAATGCGAGAAAGGAATACACTGTTATCGTAACGGAGGAATACGATAAACTGTATTTTCTAGGTTATATAATACAGATATGACATGAAATAAAGACAAACCAGTTGATATATATATTTGTAATATTTATTATTTTTCACATTGATATTTCTTCCTTTTCCTACAGCACTATGTAGAAAGATTTAACACCAAGGCAGACAATGTACACTTGTATAATGAAACTAAACACCGTCTCAATAGCTCATTACAGACCACATTGACAGTGCACTGATGACTCTACAGGTTAGTGTAGCAAGCACTTTTAACCCTACAGGGTAGAGTAGCAAGCACTTTTAACCCTAAAGGGTAGTGTAGTAAGCATTGACAACCCACCATACAGGGAAGAAAGTAAGCACTGAAGACATATCCTACAGGATAGTATAGCAAGCATTAAAGACCCTAGTCTTGCAGCAATCACTGATGACCACTACAAAGTAATGTACAAGCACTGATGACCCTACAAAGTAGAGTAGCAAGCACTATTAACCCTACAGGGTAGTGTATCGAGCAATTACAACCCACCCTATAGGGTTGTGTAGAAAGCACTGAAGCCCCACCCTACAGGGTAGTGTAGAAAGCACTGACGACCCACCCTACAGGGTTGTGTAGAAAGCACTGACAAGCCACCCAACAGGGTAGTGTAGCAAGCACCGACAACCCACCCTATAGGGTTATGTAGAAAGCACTGAAGCCCCACCCTACAGGGTAGTGTAGAAAGCACTGACGACCCACCCTACAGGGTTGTGTAGAAAGCACTGATGGCCCACCTTACAGGGTAGTGTAGTTGGATAACCCAATAATTACAGGGTAATGTATCAATTCACTGATGACCCAATGAACAAGGGGTAGTTGGTAATCTGGGCCATTTAAAGCAGATATTGACATAAATAGTTTCATTATTGAACTCTCCAATAAGGACCAGCTGTGTCAGTTTTATAAACATGCTCAATTGTTTCCTTGTTGAGTTCAATTTGAGGATTGGGACATCCATGTACATCAAAAATGTGCTCCATCACTTATCAACCATAATAAATTAAACTTCAGTACATTTGAATTCAAACATTTTAACAAGATTTAAGAGGGATCTAATTCCTAATAATTTCTGGTTACTTTATTCAGTATTACATACCAGTAAAATCCAACCTTTAACCAAGGTTTCATTTACAGAGGGAAAATTATGTGTATGCTGATGATACATAAGGGAGATAACTGCATTGAGAGGATAAAGAGGAGATATTACAGATGTATGTTAATGATATACAGGGGAGATAACTGAGTGGAGTGGCTACTGAGGAGATATCGTGAGAGTATCTAGATGATGCGTGGAGTGTAAGGAAAGATACAGGTGTACAGAGATGTTGTACAGACGAGAATGGAACAACAATAAGTAAGAAACCACTCAAAGGCCTATAGCACTGCACATTGACTAAACATATGTGTTCTATCTCTCTATAACTATACAGTTATCTCCAAAACATATAACAATCATTCCTCAGTTCTACCTACAACACATGCTAGACTTTTATCCCTGTCACAAATAACTAGACCCCAAATCCCAATCCCCACAACACAAGCTAGATTATTATCTCAGTCACAAGTATGTAGACCCTTAATCCCTCTCCCAGTAATTTAACTAAGACTTGTATCTCTTCCACAAACAACTCCAGTCCATAAATCCAATTCCTCCCTACAGTGTGTGCTAGACTTTTTAATCCTGAATCTGCCTACCCAACAACACTTTATATATCATGCACAAATCAGATGGATGTAATCTATCGGCTGATGCACTTTTAATTTCTGGAAAGCCAACTCCAAATCACCATTAGTGGAGAAAATGTGGAGCTCTTACGTTTGTGATGGAATATTCACCTGTATGAATAGGAATCTTGGAGGACTGATGATGAACTGATGTCTGGGATTGATAGACGAGACATGAATTGAATCATGTTCCATTTTTTAACACTCCACTTGGATATATTTTTCATTGTTTTTGCTACCATGGAGAGATAAATGTAGGCATCATATTGAGAGAATATGATCATTTTCACTTTGCTATGTCCAATGTATACAAAGGTTTAATTATGTCCGAGACCCCATAGAAAAGATTGCATGTGCATGCTTCATTACTTAATGTTTCAACACATCTGGTGAAGATTACAGTGAGATCATGGATGCCGACATAACAGTTTACATATACAATGAAAACAGCTTGTTTTGAGAATGGAATGTTGGCATGGTGTTCTGATGGAACTGAAACGGAGCTAAAATCTACAGGCAATAGAATTACACAAATCTCAACACGGGACCCAACATTCTGTGGATATAGAGACACTCATCATGTAAACTTTGAGATATTCTTGATAATAATAGCTTAGCATTTCACAATCATCCAGAAAATCAATCTAGTAAACTGATGGTTTTATAAACAGAAGCGAGACCAGTAACAGTACTGTGAATGCTAAGGTGCCTTCTGCAATTAAATTATTTAGTTACAAAGCAGACTATTCATGACACCAGGTCAAACATCCAGTTAATCTCTGCATGAACACATCTAGGATGATTGTGAAGAATAGCTAGATAACAGTCCACTGGACTGAATGTTTCTGAATCAAAATTTATTAAGAAAGTTTCAACTGCATCCTCTTGCACAGCAGGTAATTATCAACATCAGAAATACAGCATTTTGTATTGATCTTGTAAAAACTAGAAGAAGATCCACAACTAAAACACATCACACCTGTTGGCATACTCAGGTGTGTAAATGTCACTGATAGGCACACTCCGATGTGTATATGTCACTTGTGGCCATACTCTGGGGTGAACATGTCACCTGTGGTCATATCTGTGTGTATACATGTCACCTACTGCCATACAAGGGTGAGTTAATTGAAACAAAATAATTTAACATGATTTTTAATGTTGAACAACTAGAACCTAATCCAACATAATCTAATCAGTTTGTAGGTACCTATAACATCAGTCTTACATGTCAATTATCAACATAATAATTTACTGCAGTAACGGTGAGGACAATCAACATTACAAACACCCATGTTTGTTTACATCAGTAGTATTGTCTGATATAAGTTTAATGATTAATGTCTAAAGACCATACAATGTGATCGTACAAACAATGTATTTTAGACAGAAACAATGGGCACAAACAAGTATATTGTATAAATGACAAAACTACATTGTATATAATTTACCAAAATTTGCATCCAATCACAAAACGGTTATAAGTGATACTCTTTTCTTACATCTTTTGTGCTTTCATACGAAAAAAAAACAAAAAAAACAAAAAAAACAGGGTGAAATATGTTGGGTAAGGAATGTATTTTGACACAAGTTTTATGATTAATAAATCACTTAATATAATGAGACTGTAGTATCAGAGAAGTTAATGTCTGTATTATGATTAAAAAAAAAACCAAACAAATATCAGAAAATAATTAAAGAGGAAGTACTTAAAAAAAAAAGGAAAGAAAAAAATAATAGACCCACAAGGGAGATTGCTAACTTATAATGCAGTTATGTAGAGATAATCAACCTTTCATGTCTTAGCGAGGTGACAAGAATAAAAACTGGGGAGGAAAAAAGGAAATAGAACAAGATATTTTTTTCCGAATGGTAAGAACACCACATACACACAAAGATGGGAAATGGTTAAATATCTTCATAATTTGTATGATTTATGTACAAAATAAACACAACCCATATATAATATATGATTACAATTCTCGCATACACTTTGCATGTATATCTATATATATATATTATATGTATCACATAGTAGTAGTGCCACTTTCATTCACTATTATCCCTGCTGTACATAGTGAGAACACTGCCATGTGTGGACATGTACTGCAGACACACCACCAGGGTGTACCTACCAACTATCCCTACTGTGCATGGTGTGTACACAGCCTTGTGGGGACAATGTACAGAAGACAAACTTGGGAGGTAATTACTGACCATCCCTACTGTGCATGGGGAGAACACAGCCTTGTGGGGACAATGTACAGCAGAAAAACCCAGGGTGTGACTACCGACTTTTCCTATTGTACATGTTGACAAAAATCCTTGAGGGGACAATGAATTGTAGAAAAGCCACCAGGTTTTACCTACAAACCTACCCTATTGTACATGACAAGAGCATGGCCTTATCAGGACAATATATGGCAGAAAAACCCTACTGTACATGGTGAGAACACAGCCTTGTGGGGACAATGTACTGCAGACAAACCTGGGAGGTAACTAATGACCATCCCTATTGTATATGGTGAGAACACAGCCCTTTAGACATACCACCAGGTTGCACCTATAAACCATCCCTATTGTACATGGTGAGACAGTTTTAAGTTTACCTTATCAACTGTATTTTGTTTTTAAGGCAAGTGCACTTCCAGATTGAAAACTGAAAAGTATTGTGAAAAGGGAACTGCATTTAGAATAAGCTTACAGCAGATTTGATCAGCAAAATCTGCATATTTTTTTTCAAACAACTTCTCATAAGGATGCAGAAAAATTTTCTTCATAATGCAAATGATCAAAATGAACAAAGTTTAAAGCGATAAAACTGATCCATCTCTAGTGACACAATAAAAGCTGAACTAAAGAATCACTTTCATTGTTCATAAACAGTGTTTTGATTGATCAAGGTGATATATATGAAGGCGAGGAACCTGTATGAAGTCATTGCTGTACATTGTCACCACAAGTGGGACAGGAAGTATATAACTACAAAGAATTGCACACTGAACAAGTATAAAGTAGCCTCACACCAGGACTAGCTCTGGTTATGTGACTGTCACTTTTTCATCTGCAGACTTAGGAAGCGGTTCTTTACAACATCATGCAATACTGACGACACCGCTCAACTGTCAGAAATAGCTGTATGTTGGGTGACTTGTAAAGTCCAGGTCCAACAATCACAGACATACACTGTAAAACCTAGCCTGTCTATATATTACACATATACACATTACAATAATTACATAATTTGATTATTCCTATAAAAAAACAATGACAGAGAGACCCAGCAAGTCCACTGCTGGACATACAAGAGTTATGCCATGATCTGTTGGGAGGCCCGTGTTGACATGGAATTATGACATACAAGGTGCTGTTGCAGCTACTATGGTTACACAGGTGAGTCATCCGAATGTCAGATAAATATCATTGTGTATGCTTCCTTGGTAATAATATGCATACATAACTACTATGTACATTGAAGGTTTGTGAAACACTGACGACAGTTTGATCCCATTCAATTTTATTATGTACACATTCCCGTCACAATTTCACTGTCAATGTTACAGCCTGTTCCTCCCTAACTTGTAAGAAGTGTACCTGTGGAGAAAAAAATTCCAGGTTACTGTCACATTACACACATACACAATGGATATCGGTCCTATTTGATCACCTAAAGCATTAGAGTGTTTTGTCCATGTTGTAGGGAAGAGTTTGTCTATCTGAAGATTAATCAGGTAAGTACAAAACTAAGTGTTCCTATTTGTTGTAGCAGTAATACTGATGTTCAATCTCTTGCAAAATTTTGATGAAATCTTAAACTAGAAACAAACATCTGTACAATAGACAAAACACTGAAAGTACACTGAAAACATTCCCATGTTCTCAAGAAATCTATCTAAAACAAAACTTTTTGTTAAAAATTTTGTTTTCAAAATTCTTCATACACCAATATAATGTTAAATATTTATTGTATTTTCATCCACCTTAAAATGAATCAATTTAGACACTACCATAAATGAGAAAAATGACAACGGAAACTATGAAGCTTTTGCAAATTTATATCTCCATGATATCAGTAGACCTAGAACTTACCACTTCTCACATTAACTAATCTCATAATGCACCAAACGGGTCGTTTTGTTGTTGCCCAGTAGGGGGTCGTGGTTGTTGCATCATTCCCATTGGCTGCATTCCTCCACCATACATATTTGACTGCATACCCATATTTGGCTGCATACCCATAGCTGGTTGCATTCCCATTGGTTGACCCATTGGCATTCCTATTGGGCGAGGCTGTCCCATCATACCAACAGGTTGCTATAGGAAGTAATAATAAAACTCCAGATATCCAGATCATCAAATTGAAATGATGAAGTGCTAATTAAATTGTTAACACTCAAGTTCAACCACAGCCTATTTCTTTGTGTTTGAACCGTAAATTGTACGCATACCTAACTTAGGGCAATCAAATCTTGTGAATAAGCCCATTATCATATTTCAGCAAATTAGAGCAATGATGAATTCATGCATCAATAATAATTGCTCTACATTAACCACATGCAAAAGTGACAATTTGCATTATCATGTTTTAGTGCAATACTTTTAGCATGAGAAGGCCTGATATAAGACTACCACTGAATATGTATACATGTATTAAAAGTGTATGATATAACCATTTATAACATTTTTAAACAAAATGTTTCATGCCAATGCATATCAATGAAGGCATCAACAAAATAGACATTGTGATATACAACCCTGGTGACCTTACCATCATTGGCTGTGTTTGTGGTGCACCCATGTTATAGCCCATAGCTGGCTGAGTCTGAAATATACAAAAATCACTTTTTTTTCCTTTTTCTTAACCAAAAACAAAAATTTAAGAAAATTCTTTCAATACCTTCTTGACACATTACTGCAATCAAGCATTTAAAATGTGGAGACAACTAGACTCTGTAAGAATTCTGGTTTTTCCCTGACTTACCATTGGATTAGTAGGTGCAAAGCCCTGGTTCCAAGTGGTGGTTGAGGAGGCCATAGATGGCTGGTTCTGCCAGTTGGCCCCTCCTGTCTTCTTCTGTTCACCCTTTGGCTGCCACTCATGTTGTTGTCTGCATCAAACAGTAATTATGAGTTATTATGATATAGTGTATTATCACTTTACCATCCTTTTAATCATGTGACCGATGGATGACTTGCAACTTGATATGTTGTGTTGATATGTGTACCTATATTTTGACCTGTTGGGTTTGTCTGTTGATGTATCTATATTTAGACCTGTTGAGTTTGTCTGTTGATGTATCTATATTTAGACCTGTTGCGGCTGTCTGTTGATGTACCTTTATTTTGACCTGTTGTGTTTGTCTGTTGATGTATCTATATTTTGACCTGTTGTGTAGGTCTGTTGATGGGTGTACCTATATTTTGACCTGTTGTGACTGTCTGTTGATGTACCTATATTTCGACCTGTTGTGTAGGTCTGTTGATGAGTGTACCTATATTTTGACCTGTTGTGGCTGTCTGTTGATGTATCTATATTTAGACCTGTTGTGTTTGTCTGTTGATGTATCTATATTTTGACCTGTTGTGGCTGTCTGTTGATGTATCTATATTTTGACCTGTTGTGTTTGTCTGTTGGTGTATCTATATTTTGACCTGTTGTGGCTGTCTGTTGATGTATCTATATTTTGACCTGTTGTGTTTGTCTGTTGATGTATCTTTATTTCGACCTGTTGTGTAGGTCTGTTGATGTATCTATATTTAGGCCTGTTGTGTTTGTCTGTTGATGTATCTATATTTGGACCTGTTGTGTTTGTCTGTTGATGAATGTATCTATATTTTGACCTGTTGTGTTTGTATGTTGATGAGTGTACCTATATTTTGACCTGTTGTGGCTGTCTGTTGATGTGCCTATATTTTGACCTGTTGTTTGTATGTTGATGAGTGTACCTATATTTTGACCTGTTGTGTTTGTCTGTAGACAATATACTTACTTTTTCACCTGTTGTGCTGGTCCATTGATGTGAAGATTGCCAGCTAATTGGACAAGACTTGTATTTAGATCAGGCTGTATCAACTTCTCCTGTTTCTTTTCCTCTGTCTGATTTTGTGATTTGGGTTGTAGAACTTCACCAAATGCATCAAACCCTGTCAACACAACACTAAACATAGAGTATGTGGTCTCACCAGTAGAAGGTAGATAACTCCTTTAACCGGGCCAGCTCATCAGTACAACAAATGTTAACCAGTACTAATATACCTTTAAAACTATGTAAACATTATTCTTTATGCAGGAAACCATTGGTAAACTGGATTAAAAATGAATAAAATTTCTACATTGTAAGGTTTAGTTATAGAAGTGTCTATTAATCAATACCTAATACCAAGACTAAATTTTCAAGCACATGGCAATTACATGTAAAGATATTTTACCAGTATGTTTTGTGCTTCAATTTTGACACACTTGAATCATTGACACACATGTACAGGTTAAGTGTTGTACTTAAAATGTACACACTTAAACCAACAGGTAAATTACAGTACATAAACACTCATATGTACATGTAAAGGGTTGTATATCAACATCGAGACACAGTGCAGGTAAAGTACTGTAGCACTGTGACATTACAAGTAAATATTGCACTTAAACATTTAGATACTCAGGTGTCACAATTAAATTCTGTACTAAAACATTGACAAACACATACAGGTATTGTACTCATGACAGCATGCTATATTTACTATACATTGTATGTAAGGTATATTTTCACAACAACAATCATGGTTGTCCTCACAAAAACACATCATATGTATGTTGCTTCACTCTTGCGTGGTACTTCATGCATGAAAACTAGGTGAAGTATTTAGAAATAATGTAACTTTTCTTTTTTATACCCTTTCAATCACCATCAATAAATACCTCCCTTCCAGAAATAAATGAGATATATATTATAATGTTATAGTGTCGAAGGAGATTCAATAGAAGACAGACATGCAGTGTCAGTGTGCATCTCATATAAAGCAAAGTGTGATGAGATAGTGAACATAAACACATTCTTTCAGCTGATAGTTTCAAATAATATATTAAAACCATTTTTGTTATTAAGGTCATATATACTGAGATTTAAACTGCACTTATCAGTGTTTTAAGTTTTGCTAAAAATTTTATTTACCGCCATACATAATGACTTATGACTAGGGGTATAACACAACAGTTAAGTCTACTTCATTATGACCTAAGACTAGGGGTATAACACAACAGTTAGGTCTACGTCATTATGACCTAAGACTAGGGGTATAACACAACAGTTAAGTCTACTATATTATGACTTATGACCAGGGGTATAACACAACAGTAAAGTCTACTTCATTATGACCTTAGACTAGGGGTATAACACAACAGTTAAGTCTACTCAAGTTAACCCTATGACTAGGGGTTCCACACAGCAGTAAGTTTACCTGCCAGTTTATGCTATAACTAGGGGTTCCCCACAACAGCAAGTCTACCTGTTTGTTTATGCTATGACTAGGGGGTACATAACAACAACAATTTTACCTGCCACTATGTTCTATGACTAAGGGTTCCCCACAACAGCAAGATTACCTGCCAGTTTACCTTATGACTACGGGGTTCCACACAACAACAAGTTTACCCTATGACTAGGGGGTTCCATACAACAGCAAGTTTACCCTATGACTCGGGGGTTCTACACAACAACAAGTTTACCTGTCTGTTTACCCTATAACTAGGGGGTTCCCCACAACAGCAAGTTTACCCTATGACTAGGGGGATCCACACAACAGCAAGTTTACCCTATGACTAGGGGGATCCACACAACAGCAAGTTTACCCTATGACTCGGGGGTTCTACACAACAGCAAGTTTACCCTATGACTAGGGGGATCCACACAACAGCAAGATTACCTGCCAGTTTACCTTATGACTACGGGGTTCCACACAACAACAAGTTTACCCTATGACTAGGGGGTTCCATACAACAGCAAGTTTACCCTATGACTCGGGGGTTCTACACAACAACAAGTTTACCTGTCTGTTTACCCTATAACTAGGGGGTTCCCCACAACAGCAAGTTTACCCTATGACTAGGGGGATCCACACAACAGCAAGTTTACCCTATGACTAGGGGGATCCACACAACAGCAAGTTTACCCTATGACTAGGGGGATCCACACAACAGCAAGTTTACCTGCCAGTTTACCCTATGACTAGGGGGTTCCCCACAACAGCAAGTTTACCCTATGACTAGGGGGTTCCACACAACAGCAAGTTTACCCTATGACTACGGGGTTCCACACAACAACAAGTTTACCCTATGACTTGAGTAGGGGCACAACACAACAACAAGTTTACCCTATGACTATGGGGTTCCACACAACAAGTTTACCCTATGACTATGGGGGTTCCACACAACAACAAGTTTACCCTATGACTATGGGGGTTCCACACAACAACAAGTTTACCCTATGACTACGGGGTTCCACACAACAACCAGTTTACCCTATGACTTGAGTAGGGGCACAACACAACAACAAGTTTACCCTATGACCATGGGGTTCCACACAACAAGTTTACCCTATGACTAGGGGGTTCCACACAACAACAAGTTTACCCTATGACTATCAGGTTCCACACAACAGCCAGTTTACCCTATGACTTGAGTAGGGGCACAACACAACAACAAGTTTACCTGTCTGTTTACCCTATGACTTGAGTAGGGGTACAACACAACACTAATGAATGGATATATTTTTTCCAAAGATAACATAGCCATTGACATCATTCTTGGAGTGATACGATGAATGATGTTACTCTACAGGATAGATATATGTAATGACTAATTATCTAAACAGTAAACCCAAATGATTGAAAACATCAAATGAACATATCACATAAACTGGGGTCAGTAAACAAAACCTTAAACCAAAGTATAAGGAGTATAATGGTACATATATAACAGAACATCTCTATTCTGAAACAAAATCTCTATTAAATAAACTTGACAATTAGGGTGGGATGTTTGATCACCTGATCCCTGGTCAGAGGTGGAAGAGGGGGCGGGGCTGCTCCTACCCACAGCTGCCACGCAAACAAGAAATATTACAACATTAATATCAACATATATCTGTATACATATAAGACTTTGTCACATTTTATATCTATTCTACTGTTTCCTGGTTTTAAGTGATAGTTTGAATCATACCTATGATATACTTAAATTGCCACAAATCTTAAAGAGTTGTTTCATTGGAATTCCAACATAACAATGAAAGTTCTAAAGACTGTAAACAAAACAAATACTATACTTATAAGTGAATATAAACTGATATTATCCATGGGACAACAGGGTTGTTGTTATAGTAATTCCCAAACTGTAATGTGTCTCAATAAGTCAGCAATGAAAAGTAAGGAAAACCATGTTACTACTTTCGAATTATGTACATACTGTAACTATTTAATTTGTCAATATTTAGAGAGTATGAAGTTGTATTAATTTTGATATAAGAATTTTTTTGCCACACAGAAGTACTCATCGTAATTTTTTTATTCTAGGTATCCTACCTTGTTCCATAAAATTTGGAGTGAGACTCCTGTGCTGGAGAGCTTGAAAAGATACACAACATTGGAAGGTCAAGGTCAGCAAACAAAGGATTTTGACAAAGAAAGATAACTCCATCAATATAGACTCTATGTAACAAACTTAAGGTACATATATAACATTCACAGATCATGGAATATCTTATTTAACAATTTCACTCCAGTCATATATATGGACAAGCTGGAATGGGACGGAAAATATTGAATGAAAACAGAGAGTTTCTTGTAGTATGCTCACTTATGTTTATCCCCATCGTATACATATACATAAGTCCCCTTACATGCAGTCTCTGACCCCAGAATAAGAAAACGCTTCATAAAAAAGAGAACCATGACTCTTGAAAACATATTAGTCAAAATAGACCAAAATCAAAATTTGTAGTTTAGAAATATAACATCTGGGAAATGATACTTTAACATGGATTCATGAAAATTAGAAAATAAAATCTGCATCCTGTTGGAAACAAGAAAGAAGAAAGTTACAATGAATACAAAGAAACAAAAAGACTTTTGGAATTGGGAACACATACCTCTTTATAGAGACAAGAATCCAAAAAACGATATCAACTAAAGAAATGGGACATAGAAGAGAAAAGCACCAACCTGGGCTAGCCGGCACTGTCATCTCAGGGAATGCTAGTGACAAACACAGATACAGTCAGTACAGTACCAAACTGTTACAGAGCCCAATAAAACAGCGAGGCTATGTAGCCTTCTAAATTCTATATACTGATTGCTATCTTCACTGGTAGAATCAATTAATTTATGAACTATCACACATGTAATATATAGATTTTTTACAGTCCTCACAATGAGGTTATTTTATAAAGAGTTGGTTTTTTTTTAACATTCTTAACTTAGTAGACTAGTAAGTCAATAAAAGTTATGAACAAATTATAATGCTGAAGTGATATGTCCAAGTAATGTCATGTCTTTGGTAAACACACAGTGATAATGACAAGACAATATCACATCCCTTTCAAACTTGCTAGCTTCAGCTTCTCATTTTGTAAGCCTTTCATTTTCATAAAAAGAGACATTCAGATAATTTAGAATACACCTAGTCACAAAGAAAGAGCTTAGAAGTACATTATTTCAATCATTCACAAAACTGTGTACAGATACAATGTTACTCCTTTACAAGAGCATAGATGAATAACATTTTTGAAAACATGCATGGTCATTAGGGGGCGTGGCCGGTGATAAACATTACATCATAATTTGTGATTCATTATACCAGTTCATGCATTTCTATACATGTGTGTATATATATATATATATATGTATATATGACAATACTTAACTAACAAAACCTCTAAAAACTTAAAAGATTTTAAAAAGGAACTTATGGAGCTTTTGTTTTCTTTTTTTTTTTCCCAAAGAACACCTGTTTTTACAAATAAGGAAAAAAAATGTCAAACTTAAAACCAATGAAGTCTATTATTGATCTACAAAGACAGAAAATATCTACTAAACCAGTGACACAAGAAAAACTAAACACAGTAGAAACCAACAGTGCTGATATTTTACAAAATGTTCAAAACTATTCCCATAGTAACTAAAATAACAAAAGTGACTTTCAAAGAAACCGAAACAACAATACCCTATCTGATCTCTTGCCAATACCCTTCTTTTTTTTTTTTTACATTCCACAACATTTCTTTTTTGTTCATTAAGAAAGGTTTAAGACTGAATTAATATCTTTAATTTCTGTACTTGTAAGATTGTAAGTAATTAGAAATAGGATAACTTTGATAGAGCTCTGATGTTCATATTATATTGGTACCATCGCAGTTAACGTGTATTTGCCCATTCCACAACACGTTTCATAAAAGCACCATTTGAATGTGAGCCATCTGACAGAAAAGGAATGCTGTGAAATGGTACGGTAAAGGTATCTACAACTACACACTGTGTTACATACAACAGTGAAAACCAAACCTTGGGGACTGGTGCCCAGAATTTGTGCCCCCTGCATCTGCATTGGCATACCCCCCATAGCCCCACCTGTACCAGACAGACTGGTCAGGTCGCCCCCACAACTACTTGTGGTGCCCCCTAGGGCCAGCGAGTCCAGGGGATCGAGTGGTTCTTCCTCGGGTGGAACAGTAGGGGCTGAACAGAGAAAGGCAAAAAGATGAAGATTCTAACTAGGTCTATTCTTTACTCACTCCAAGAAAAAACATGAAAGAATAAGGTCAAAGTTAAATTTTAAGCAGTTAAATGATAAACAATTATCACACATTATATCCAAGCTTTTATAAGCCTAGGTTTCCATCCATTTTATATTGCATCATCTTAGGGATAATTCTGTTAGGAGCTCTTCCTGGAAAATTCCTCATAAATGGTTTGTAATAAAATATTATATAACATTATTAGATAAAATGGTAAAACAATAAAATACTCTAAAACATTCCATGATATCTGAGTAGTTATTCCTACATCATTCAGTGAATCGTTACTTACCGAGGCAACACCACAAACAATTCTATCGTTGTTCTTTATCAGTATCTACAACACTGTTTCTCTATCGAACAAGGAACCTGTTTTTAACGATTTAATTTTCTTTTTACTTGTAAGAATGTGTTTATGATTTCATAATGAATGTCACACAAGAATGAAAGCATGAAGGTGACTGTGAGAACACTAAATAATAAAAGTTATAATATGATAAAGAGATGTATTAAAAGCAAACTTTGTTAAGACAGAACAATAAGGATGGATACTAAGTAAGATGTGTGTGATCACTGGGTTCACACTGAATAGCTACAGTAGCAAAGTAAATACACCAACATTTGTAATCTCATCAAAGTTAATCATACTATCATCATTTAAAGTCACCAAAGTTGTAATTTACATGTCATAATAAGGATAAACATAGTGTCTTATTGCTATGATACATTGTGTCTTATTGTTATGATACAGGTATCTTTATGCTATGATACAGGTGTCTTACTGCTATGATACAGGTGTCTTATTGCTATGATACATTGTGTCTTATTGTTATGATACAGGTATCTTTATGCTATGATACAGGTGTCTTATTGCAATTATACAGGTGTCTTATTGTTATGATACAGGTGTCTTACTGCTATGATACAGGTGTATTATTGTTATGATACAAGTGTGTTACTGATAGGACACAGATGTCTTATTGTTATGATACAGGTGTCTTATTGTTATGATACAGATGTCTTATTGTTATGATACATGTGTCTTATTAAAAGTGCCACACACTGATACATGTGTCTTTTTGCAATGATACATGTGTCTTTTTGCAATGATACATATGTCTGATTGCTATGATACAGATGTCTTTTTGTTATGATACAGGTGAATTACTGACAAGATGCAAGTGATGTCTCACTATAATATAAGTGTCTTTTTGCTGCAATAAATTGTCTTACTGCTATGACACACATGTCTTATTGTTAAATACATGTGCATTACTGCTATAATACAAGTCTCACACACTATAATACATGTGTCTTATTTGCTATGATACAGGTGTCTTACAGTTATAAGACATGTGCATTACTGCTATAATACAAGTCTCACACACTATAATACATGTGTCTTATTTGCTATGATACAGGTGTCTTACAGTTATAAGACATGTGTATTACTGTTATAATACAAGTCTCACACACTATAATACATGTGTCTTATTTGCTATGATACAGGTGTCTTACAGTTATAAGACATGTGTATTACTGCTATAATACAAGTCTCATACACTATAATACACGTGTCTTATTTGCTATGATACAGGTGTCTTACTACTATGATACAGGTGTCTTACTATGTTACAACACATCTAAGAATATAGCAAACACTACAGAATCAGATACACACCACAATCACCAAAGAATTATACAATTAAAAAAATGTTTAAGAGTACAAATAAAAAAAAACCAGTCACACTTTTATCATCAACAACATTTTTTCTTTTTAGAAAATCTTTTCGATTGTAATGAATCAATTCATTTCCTTTAAACTTGTAAGTTTACTGAATAAACATGAAATTTGATATCAACATTGCGCAACTGGAATAACATTTGTTTATGTAATCATTGTAATAATTAAAAAGGACTATAAGGCCTGTTCACCCAACCGACATCTCCAGAAAAAATGTTTAACTGATTTGAATGCTGTTCCAATATGTTAAAGAAAGACAGGGACTAAAGGACATATAAAGGTTAGATCTTGTCCATACACTCAAAATATGGCAAAAAATTGGAAAGCTACATTTATGAATTATCGTTTTAATATCACATATACTTTTATCAGGATAAAGATAACACAGCAAAACAGTAGAGCTAGCATGTTAAGTATAGCTTTTCTCACTGGCAACTGACTTCAGATACTGCCTAAGGAAGACTTGTAATTATTGGATTTTTGTTGTTTTTGTTTTTAATGAAATTTCTATCTAGTGAGATATTACTGGATTGATTTCAGAAGGCAGTAGCTGTTTGTCAGCATCACAAAGTAAACAAATCTACTCAAATCAGTCTAGTCAGAGATCAGAGAGTGTTAACTCTGACTATCTTCAACTTACAAGGGAACTGGGGACTGGTCACTGTTTTGGAGAAAAGAACAAAAACAACATACAATATATTTATCTACATAATTTTACAATACCCATCACTTCCTTACATGTTTTATGTATCTATGTAATAACATTTATCTAAATGTTGCTATCAACGATCAATCAAATGTACCTTCATCATCTGGCTGTTACGTCCAAACAACTTTTACTGTTATATGAACATCCAGACAAATGTTTTTACATGATACATAACAAATACTCTAGACAACACCACACATAAAGAAAGACCACATCTTTCCAGCTACAGACAGTGGGCTTGGTTACATGGGGACAGATGATTGGTCCAGCTGTACAATATATGTTGCCTACACACAGGTGAGTAATATACCTGGAGAAGTTGGTGAAGGAGTGAGTAGCTGACCCATTCCAGCTGACAGTGGTATATCCAGAGTTAAGGAGTTAGCAGCAGTGCCCCCTGCTGCACACACGGACAACCAAACAGCAACAAGGGGAGGCCACCCACAACAACACATGCACAGTTGAGTAGTATTAGTAGCAGGAAATGTTGGTTTGTTGAGTCGTAGCATTAAACAATACATTGAATTATATTAGCAAAGCATGCAGAACATATACAGTGATAAGCAAATATATTGACAAAATCCAACACCAGTCTAAATTAGTTATATTGAGAAAGATGTGATCGAGCTGTAACAAGCGGCTGTGAATCAAGTTAGTGCTATAGATAAAGTATTGATAAACTTGTAGCTCTTCAAAATAAAGTAGTAACTTCCACCTTATTTCTGTTGTTGTTGATCTGTATACCAGTATTATCAGTATGGCAGGGACTGATCTATCTTTCAGAAGTTAGTTCATAGCACTTTTTATTCTGTTATATTATATCAATCCTTGTAAATCAGACATGAAGCTCCGATACCCTGAAAATCTAACTGAATCTTACTACTATATCACTTCACTGTTATATCTAGCTATTCAACATATAGTTACAATTAACACACCTATTTCAGTTCTAAAACTAAGCCTGCTATATCATAGTCCAGTTATTTTGTTTGTAAGATAACCTAGCTCTACATCACACACTTTATTTAATTTTAATCATATAACAATGAAATTACTCCAAGCAGATGACAATAGCAAGACAAACTGAATTCCTTAGGAACTAAGATAAAATTAAATCCAGATTTTTTCTACATTCAGTTTCTTCTGTCAAACATCCTATTGAACAACAGAAGTACAAATTTTTTGAAAACTGTCCAATTCTGACACTAATATGAAGGCCATGTTAGTGTTATTAATACATTGACAGCTCTGAGGATAAAATTACTGTACAGTCAGCGTTAGTCCCATTCATCAGTTTGTTATGTGTGGACAAAAATCTCAAAATAAAATCTATCTACACAATGATTTTGAAAGAAGAATGTTAGCATGCATCATCAGTAGATGTAAAGATCGTACCAGTTGTTGTCGTGTTGGCGTTGTGAAACACCTTATCAAAATCTGCTTCTGATGTAAACCCAGAACTGGACGCTGCACGGCAAAATAGTTCATCTGTACGTTAATTTGTGATTCTACCGAAACATTCAACACAGATCTCACTACATTAATTTTCTCCTTCAATATCTAACAGTGTAATCTTTGGCTAGTTGTTCATAATGGATCCTAGTGATACCTTATATCCTACCAGCATGTGGATAGCAAAGGTAGGTTACATTACTATCTAAATTAGAGTTTAATCATCCTTTACAAATGTATAACTGTACTTATTTTTTCAGTATTTTGTCTACAGTATTAAGTTCTGAGGTCTACGTTAAATAGTCTGACTCTAACACAAACTTAGCCTGGGTTTACTGCACTTTCCAAAAGCCTTCTCTTTATAAACAAACATACTGAAACTCTTCATTGTTTAAATTCATATACAGCAGATTCCACTTAATTGCGTTCTCCATTTATTAAATATATGCCATCTTGGAAAATTTTGACATGCATAAAATAGACAGGAAATATAAAATTTGATTGGAATGTACTGTTTCTAACATAGAAAATGCAATATAAAGCACAAGCTCTGATGATGATCTATATTTAGGATTGATGTAAAAGAAAAATTTGGAGTAGCATCCCTTTTGGCAGTAGTAGGCCTAGAAATTGTACCTAATGACCTTGACTTCTGAACATAGATCTCAATAGCATACGTTTTTGTACACTGTATAAATTCTCCAGGTATAAAATGACTTTAACAGTCCTCCTTCAGGTTCACAATTTCAAATTGTTATAAATGACTTAAATATTGCTCTCAAATGATAACAACATATGACAATTAGATATTTTAAGCATTTAAAACGGATATTGTTTTCCTATGTAAATAGACGGGATCTTTTTTCATTAAAAAAATAGTAATTTTCTATGCCTTAATATTCAATACAAATGTGGAATCACATTCTTGTCCATTAAATGGAATCTACTGTATAAAACCTAATTGAGCTTTTCATGTTAACAATTAAAACAGCATGAAAATTATACCGAACTACTTAAAAGAGATCATACACAACAAAACCAAACTTTTAAAAAGATTTAGGTAAAGCTTTTGAACTACATGTTAAAACATGACATTAGTTAGTGGTACCAAAGTTTTATTCCAAACCATCAAACTCAATATAATAACTAGGCAAAGAATGTAATACCAGATAATCACTGAAGCACTGTGCTAGAAAATTGTTAGCTTGACAACTTGTAAGAATACACATCAAGTAAAAATTTAAGTTTTCTGTTATTAGTATATATGTTGATAATAAAGTCAGATGAAACTTTCTGCATATATTCATAAGGAGTTAAAAGTCTCACTAATTACTGATGATTCAGAGAAAAATTCTAGTAAGTAAATAGATGCACTAACATATCTACATAGATACAGCAAAAAAGAATATTTCTGAGTAAATAAGTTATTAACATCTATTAATAATGTACCAAGCACTTTTTCCTTTAATAACTGTCATTCATTACCACTCTAGAATACCAGTCAGTTTCACACATGTAATGGGGCAGAAAGTTTGTGGTGAAAATCCTACTCATTGATCTTTTTGGTTTTTCTTTTTGTTTGAGCGCTGATCAGACTCTCTACTGAAATGTTACCTGCACTTGGATTTGTTTACCAGTCACAAGTTTGTTGACTGGTAAAGATGTTCTAATTTCAAATCATCTATACAGTGCCCTAAGTGGCATCAATGCATTTCATTTCACTTATATCATTCCAATATCAAAACAAGAATTTAGGAATCAGTTAAAGGTCTGGAGGGGAAAATATCCAATTACTTGTTAGAGTCGACAGGGATGACCTAGTCTTACCCAAGATCTAAAGTACAAGTGCAGTGAGACTTGTCTGACCCTAAAAACTTGTCTAATCCAACATGATGCAGAATAAAACTACTTATTCTAAAACACTAAATCCTACATATTCAGACAATCTGTTGAACATCACCAATCTTTCATCCCAAATATGTCAGATAAATCACTTGTCACTCAGCAATGATATATAGAAACACCTCACATTATCACATATTCTAAACCCACTTTTCATATCATCCCAAACATGCTTTCCCTTGACCTCTTACGTGAGTCGTCACAACCCTGAGTACCTGTGTAGATAGGTATATGACAGGTGTACCTACCTGGTGCATTGTTCACCCCTGAAGAGTTCCATGCTGGAGTCGAGAAAGGTTGTTGTGATGGCGCTTGCATGTTATTCATGACATTGTTCATTTGCATCACATTTTGTACATTTTCTATGAATGGATTCCCTGAAAGGTTCAAAAGGTCATCACTAGGTGCATTGCCAGCTGGTGCTGTTTTTGTTGGAGAACCAAACAAGTTGACCCCGCTAGATGTAGGTGGCGCTGTTGTAGTTGGTGAGGCAAAGGGATTTGATTGGTTAGTGTTGGCTGGAGGTGCCACTGGACTTCCTCCCATCTCTTTTAACCTCTGTTCCTGACAAACAAGCACAGTATCAAGTGAGTACCTAAAATATCAACCTAAAAACGAACCTTTAGATATGTCATCTGACATTGCAAAGGCACAGCATACATATAGGGACTTACTGTACACAGCTCAAGGCCAATTTAATATTTGCTGGTCCAAAACAATTTAAATCAGGAGGTTATTGAAGAGTCATAACTTCTCAGAGAGTCATGGAAAGGAAAAATAATTTACAATTGCACAAAAACCCTAGGTAAAGATCACATGCTCCTAGAAGCAGCATTACTGTTAAGGATATCACAAAGACATTAGTCCCAGGAAAATCATCAAAATGAAATACACATATACTATATGTACTTATTGAAACAAGGAGCACATGGTTCGATTGAAGAGGCTTCAGAGACAAAGGAGGATTACTCCAAACTTTACATACATAGAAGAGTACAATAAAAGGGGGCATAACTCAAAGCCATCTTGGATTACGATCATCTGCACCTAGTTTTATAAATTATTTCTTAAACAAATTCAAACCAGTCAGAAAGCCTGATGATGAAAGTTTCTGAGAGAGAGAGCGAGAGAAAGAGAGATAGACAGAGAGGGAGGGGGAGGGGGGAACAGATTTTTTTTTTTATATGGACAATCCCCTGTCTACAGACACATGCACCCCAAAATGGATAGACAATTTGTCAATGACAAAAGATTTTTTTAAAAAGGTAGCTATTTTGTGATGTGAATGTATCTTTAGGAAAATATTTCCAAAGCAATAATGATATGTTGAAACACCAAAAATAAGACCCTATGTATTAACATGTATTAAGATATTTTAAATATATTGATGATCATTACATATTTCAAATTAAAGAAAACATTACAATGCATGGATACTTTCACAGAACACTGTACAAGATACGGGTAATGAAAAGAAATTGGTGTGAAATATCAAAATATTATTTTACAGAATACTGACATGGATTGGTGAAAGACCAGTAAAATATAAACAACAAATTGATACGTAGGTACATGCATCCATGATCTTAAGGAAATTTCTGGGTGAGTATGCCCCGTCAATCAAAATATTTCAAAATATATTTGGGTTTATACTGATGAAGTACACAAAGTGACATGACAATGCTGCATGTTACATAGGCAGTGGCCATCACAACAAATCAGGTCCAACATGCAAATGTTTGGTGAAATAAAAGGCACAAAATCCTGGTCCTCATCAATGAAAGTATTTGTATAAAGGCTCTCTAAGGAATGTAGGTGATTTAGACCTTTCTTATTTCTGTTCATTATGAAAAAGTATCGGATTTCATGTATAAAATCAAATATATACAGTATCTGTTTAACAGAATACCACAAAGGAGGAAAAGAATAGATTTATTTTCTTTTTAAGGAAGAAGGAAATAACAGAGAGAAATGGGCAAAGTCAAACTTCGATTTTCTTTCTGAGTACAGTGACAAAGTTTAGAGACAGAGAAGCCAACATGGTGTTTATATAATACTGAATTTAGCAAATGTGAAAAGGTATGGGGTCACATTCCCAACTACATGGGTTTTTATTGGGTATTCTAACTTTCTCCCACAGTAAAATCCCTCACACACTTTCATTTGCTTGATAAATTTAAGCTGATAGCCTGTTTTGCAATTATTGTAAGGTAAATCATGTTAAAACATATTTATCATAATTCCATAATTTCAACATTACATGGACAGGAATGTAAAGGTAATTTGATTGTTCAACTTGAGAAGCATGTTTACACAATGTATCACAATGTTTTTCCTCAATAACTGACAGAAGGACTAACAACTGAGACAAGTGTGGCATTATTTTTTAGGACATCAGAATGATGTTATTGAGTATATTGTGAATCATGAATGATAAGAAAATGACTTCCATGAGCAAAGTCAGTTGGATCAGAACTTGCATCCATATATATTCCAGAAAAAAATTCTCACTAAAGTATTTGAGGACTAATGTCAAAGAAAAATTTGTGAAATGATATAAGAAATATTTATGAAGTGTTGTAAATGTACAACTCCTATCTAAAGATATGTCTTTTGTGCATGTTCAGTAAAAGAAGAATGTTACTTGGAATATTACATCACTCGTTAAGTTAAGAGCAGTATATAGTGATCAGTAGAAGAACCAATGGGAAAATCTGTAAAAGGAATTCAGTACATGAAAGGTATTTGGGATTTGTTTATAGGTAGGAATGTTCTACTAAGTATTGTAAGTGGTAAGATGTTGTCGGAGTTGACAAACAAGATAAATAATATACATGGGAATGGGTAGCAAACGTAACACAGTGATAAGACAGAGCCGAGAGTAACAATATATACCTGGTTAGCAAAATCATGTTGATTGGCACCACATTGATCCTTCAAGACATGTGAAGAAACAAAGAAATAAGAGAAAGAACATACACACATGCTCACATATAATATCAAAAGTTTTACAGCTCAACTAAGTTGTCTCCCCTTAATTCAGATCTAATGTCTCCATATATATCTTAACTTCTGGTCAGTTATGTACATTTTGTTTATCATGTTACATAGGCAATTATTCATACATAGATATACTTTGTCGATGATAATATCAAATTTATTGCAAACAAGAAATTGACAGTTCAGTAGTTGGAGAGACAACTGTTGAAAAGTTTACCAGCACTGACAGTAGAACATGGCTAGCAGATACAAGTTGCAATGTTATGACGGCAGAGGTAAACACCTCACAATATAACAACACGAGGAAGACACAGAGGACTAATTCTGCCATAGTGTTATGTCATTTTCAGTTGATTAATAGATACAGTATCATACTTAAGACCTTTTGGTATGAGTAAGGATATAACAGGCATGCTTAATGACTGAATCAGTATTCTCATCATTAGTTTGGTCCCCATGTCACCACCAATACACCAACAGCATCCGTTTGATACGTTATAATATATATCTGATAATATGGTCTCATGCTTTATTATAATCACTTCGTGTAATGCTTCTGGCTATATCCACAGCAAAGTTCACTCCAATCTCACAAAATGCATTAGTATCATACTAACCCTGGGATACTTATTACATATCAGTGGCAGATCAGGAGAGATTGCCTAAACTTTCACACTCTCAAAATATCTTACTTATCTAGAACTGACTTTAAAAACTGTAAATTTCAGAAACCCTCATTAAGTAGAGTCCTCTGTGTAATTGGCTTTAGATCTGCCACTGTATGCAAGTGTTAATACTAAGTTCCAACAGGAATAATGCAATTAAATTGTTTTTTTTTAATCATAATATATAGACATTAACTTTTTCCGATTAACATAAATAGTAGTTACCTTGCTCCTCGTTTTTCATATTTAAATGTTTAACATTAGTAGCCTCCCTTTAACCATATGAAATTATACCAAGGCAATGACTATATTTTTACACAGCGAAAAGTAGCTGTTATAAAAGGTATAAAAAGTGTATAAAATGGACAGAAAAAGTGTCCGTGATGCTGTCAGCATTAAGGATGAGTAAAAAGCACAAAGGTAATTCAGCTTCAGGTTTACATTCACACCGCTCAACCTTTACCAAAGCCACCTACTCTACTAACCACTTCTGTAATCTTTTTTAGAATGAAATGTACATTCCTTTACACCATCATTTGCCATTTTTGTCAATGATAAAATAGGACAGGAATATAATTTTTGAAGGTAGACACTTTTTCTCTACATTTTCAAACCATACTAGTTTTAAATCATCAAAATTTTAAAGAAGTTTGAACTATGTACTTTTTCTAAAGGTACCAAAAAAGTCACAGTAAGTGGCCAGCAAACACAATGCTACTGAATATCAGAGGTGAATAATGAGAGATACTGGTAGACAGACAACAATCAAATCTAACCACTACCTCTCAGTATAACCCATTACCCAGCAGAACCTAGTCTAACCTCAGGATAATGGAATGTAAAGTCACAACCATGTCTAAAATCAGAACCCAGCCAAAACCTAACCAGATGTCAGAAAAACTCAATTTGGTCACAACAGAGATTCAGTATCAACCTATAAACTAGTCCAGTCTCCAAATATCCCAACTACCCAACTAGAATTTAGTCCTACCTCTAAATAACCTAGTTACCAGCCATAACCTAATCCAATCACTGGGTAATCTAGTAGCTAACCGTAATAAATTTCGCCCTCCAAATAACCTAGTTACCAGCCATAACTTAATCCAATCACTGGGTAATCTAGTAGCTAACCATATTAAATTTCACCCTCCAAATAACCTAGTTACCAGCCATAACCTAATCCAATCACTGGGTAATCTAGTAGCCAACCGTAATAAATTTCGCCCTCAAAATAACCTAGTTACCAGCCATAACCTAATCCAATCACTGGGTAATCTAGTAGCCAACCATATTAAATTTCAACCTCCAAATAACCTAGTAACTACTCATAACCTAGTCAAATCTCTGGATAACCTAAAGTACCCTACCAGAATCTGGCCAAACCTCCAAATAACTGATATTTATCAGCCATTACCAAGCTCAATCTCTGGACAACCCACTTACCAGTCACAATCTAGACCAACCTTCCTTACTACTTAATTTTTTTATCTTATAGAACATGTCCACATCTCTACCAATAACTTGTCTTGTCTCCTGACTACCTCTTTACTAACATGGGAGCTACATCTACCAAATTCTGAATTACATAGCATCCAATCCTATCTTATATACCTCATTCCTAATAGCCCTGAATCCAGTAATCCAGTCAACTCTTACATTTACCTCTACCAATAACTTGTCTTGTCTCCTGACTACCTCTTATATTAACATGGGAATCCAGTAATCCAGTCAACTCTTACATTTACCTTCTTCTTAAAAACAGAGTATTGCTGTTTCCTTCCTACTGATAGCCTGGATTCATGCCAGTCTTATATTTACCTCATTCCTAATAGTCCTGAATCCAGTAATCCAGTCAACTCTTACATTTACCTTCTTCTTAAAAACACAGAGTATTACTGTTTCCTTCTTACTAATAGCCAGGATTCATGCCAGTCTTATATTTACCTCATTTCTAATAGCCAAGGACAAAATCCAGTCTTGCATAAAATATATACCACATCTGCCAGTACCCATTCCAATTTTTGTTCTTTATTAATATCAAACACAAAATCCAAACTATGAATTCACTTCATGATAATTGATGGCTTCTATGTATTACCACTCATCACCAATTAAAGCCACCACAGCACCAATTATAATCTAGATTTTAATCATAATCTCACCAAGCAGTCTATAATTCAATCCTGTACATTTTCTATCAACCAATTCCTCCATCAAACTTGTATTATATTGCATCCTACTAACCTTTTTACCAAAATGTCCAGAAAACAAATCATGCACTTCCCTGAATTATACCTACTACATATAACACCATCCTGTTACAACCACACCCAGTACTTACTGTGGGGTTCACCTCCATACACTGCCCATTATACCTCCTCAATATGCCCATCCCATTAATACACTACCCTTCTCCACACCCTCATCCATTTCTACCTTGAGCTGTTGTAACTTCATATTTTCTTCATCTAATATTCGTTTCTTTTCTTCATCAGAAATTTGTATGCTGCTATTGTTGGAAATGGTGTTTATGGCCGATGCGAATCCCGCTGGTCTGGAAAAACAAAGGATGGTTATTTATCATTTCTGCTTGTGATCACATCTAATTCTGAGATACAAAATCAGCCTTGGAATTAAAATTTAGAATTTGATTACAATTAAAAGTTAAAATTTGTTTTAAAATAGAATGATGTAAAATCATAATTAAGACAATATCATCCTCAGATTGAATTCTATATTGTAACATCTAAGTCTAGTAAATCTGAGAAAGGGCTCTGCTATAGAACATATCGATTTTTAAATGACAAAACTCAAACTGAAGTTTATGAAGTTTATTGTAGATGAATTTTCATACAAAACTCTTGAGCTCTTACTTGGAACCAACTGGAGTTGTTGCCCCCTTTTTACCCTCTAGGGACTGCAAGTGTTGCTCTAGGGCATCTAGGAGACTGGAGGGAGCCTGAAAGGTACAAAACTCAGCAAAATGTACATGTCTGAATTTCAAACTCAGTACTGATAGACAAACATGATAATACCACACACTTAAAAGCATCTCCTACGATTATTTTTATGAAGCTGTTTTAACACTTCATAACATCTGTATAAGGGAAACTTACTGCAACACAAGAAAGAATTCAAGACGCTAAAAATATGTAATAACATACAACAGTTGTCTCTCCACTGTTATACTAATAAATTCATTTACCATATATAGTTTTACATGCATGGTAGATAAAAGGAATTTAATTACGAGGGAGATAACTGATCCTTTACCCGTTAAATATAGCTGGTGTATGGGTATTATGTATCCTGTATATACACACTCCTCAGTAACACAACATGCACAATTTCTATATAAACACACAAACACAAAGTAAATGCTGATATATAGGGTATGGATTAAATAATGCATCTTCTCAAACTTCAAATTTCATGACTATATGATCTCGCAGCCATGAATTCTAGAGGAGGTGCTTCTCTTAGCTGACCTGGTATTGGTACAAAAGAAGACCTGATGAGTATATACAGCATGCTCTTTAAGGAACAGGTGATTAGTTTCCTGTTGTCACGTGCCATGCTCTAGTTTAGTTGTATATATAAATCCAATCTACTTTTACTGATTAGCTTTGTCTCGCCTGACTATAAAACATGAACTTTGTTAATCAACTCTTGGTTGTTCTTCAATGAAACAATTTATAGCATACATTATTTTACAATTTTCTGCAAAAACCATTCAGAAGTATATAAATAAAAAAGAATTTGATAGTTTTAGTCAAGATATGATATAGAGGGGGATCCCTGGGTAGACAGGCAAACAGGTTTCCAATGCTATACCAGGTTCATGCTGGTAAGAAATATACAATGTATATAACCACACAAGTGAAAATCTCATACTGCAGTGTCATATCTCACAAACTTCATTATTAGAATAAGCTTAATATCAGCAATGGACAGTCTTTGCTTACTCCTACTAGTGAATGAATATTCATTTCTCTTCATCATGTGTGTTATATTCAGTACTAGATAGTATTAATAGAACATCAGTAGTAAAGAAGACAGCCCTAGTGTGACACAGTCACAAAGCTGTGATCGCATACACAAGATTCCAGCCTTACCAAAGACTGCTTAGCTTTGGAACATCGCTTGGAAGTTGATTGGCATTTGTGACTCTAAAAAAATAATGTCAAATCTAAAAATAGGTAAATATCCTGGATTTTCACCATTTGATCCTTTCACAATACCTGTTTAATGTCACAACTGTTTATATCATGAAAATCTGCTCATGTCCACAAAATGTTTTGTGTCTGTACTTTTTTGTCATAACTTCAGTTTTCACGTCTCATCACCTGTTTATTGTCACAACACCTGTATTATGTCACAACATCTGCTTTATGTCACAACATAGGTTTAATGTCTCAATCTGTTCCAAATCATTACATACTGAATGTCACAATACATGTGTTTTCTATGTAACTACACATGTTTTATGTCAAAATATCTTTTTTGAAGTCACAACACTTGTTTATGTCACAACACCTGTTTAATGTCACAATAATGTTTAATGTCACAACACCTGTTTAACGTCACAACATCAGTTTGACATCTTATTATCTGCTTTATGAGATAGCACCTGTTAAATGTCACAACATCTTCTTGAAGTCATAACATGTCTTTTACATCAAAGTACATTTTCTGTCACAATAACTGTTTAATGTCACAACACATTTTTTATCCCCTTTTCATCTGTTTTTGAGCCACTACGCCTGTTGTATGTAACACCTGATTATGTCACAATACCAGTTTTATATCACAACTGTTTAATGTGACAACACCTGATTATCTCAACACCTGTTGATGTTACAACATCTATTCTAAGTTGCAACACCAACTTTATGTAACAATATCTGTTTAATGTCTCAATACTTTGGTTAACAAACAGCTATCATCATCCATGTTTTATCTCAATGAAATTCCAACACTGATCAAGGTATTAATGAAAAAGTGGATGGTAGCATATGGGTTAAAGACCAATAGGAGATAGATATCAAAGCACTGACAGATACAGGATTGAAGCTGGTATGATACACTGTGGAGACTGGTCTTGTAAGGTGAAGATGAAAAGTGAAAAGAAGGATGAAAACTAGTGAGAAAGAACACCAACATAATGCACATTTTAAATGTTCAATTCCAGACATGTGATATATTGACATATCAACCTGGCCTATCAGAATATTGTGTTAGAGGACCAGTGGTTAGTGTGCTGTGCAGCTCTAAAAAGGCCATAAACATAGTTAATAGGATTTGGTTCCAGCCATAAGCAAGTCTTTTAATGCTCTTTGGTTACTCTCAAGGTCGTAAGTTCATTCTCAAGGACATGGCCACTTGGTTGTCAATAGAAACAAGACTGACTGCAGATCTAGGCCAGTCTACAGACAAATGTAATAACAAGCTAATATATCAATGACATAGAATAATGATCAATAGACTTATGTATCACTACATGCTGGGGGCATTACAGCGGTTAGTTACACTATTTGGGTGTTGTATCAATGCTCACTTTTCTTTTATCAATCATGACAATAAAGCAAAATTGTTAACATAACTAAACAATTTGGTCTGAAATGGTTACAATAGACTTACATCATGGACATTATTCTTCAACCCCTGAAGACAAAACAAAAACACATGCAGAAAATTTGAAAAAATAAAGATATCTAAAAAATGAAAGATAAGAAAAGTTTGCATCGTACAAAAACTACAGAAGCACAGCTAATGAAGTGCTAGGAAGTAGAAGTATACAAAGTTATGTGCTAGTAATGAATGCAAAAGTTAGTCATTGTTACGATGAAGGTATGTAAAAAGTTCTAAAGAATTCACAGATAAGACATATAAAGAAATGAGGTCATTGTCTATTATTCCAGCTACAGATTTTAAGAGTGAAACATTTAAATACAAAACCGGATACTTTCAGGACTAATATCTCTTCCTTAGCAGCCAAGTAAAGGCTGTGAACAAATGAATGGCAAAATATTTAAGAAAGATTTGTTGCAAACCGGTAAAACTAATAGGCTGACCCATGCTTTATATGTCTAGTCAACAATTAAAGAGGAATATAAACATTCTGAAAGAGCTGTCAACATCCTACCTAATACAGTGAAACCAGCTTATAATGATCTTCTACTTTCCTGATAAAAATATCATAATATCTGTATATTGTAATATTTATATTTCCGGTGTTGTCTCTATTTGGCCTCAACAAGAACAAGAGGCCCATGGGCCTTAATAGCCATCTGACATTAAATACAAGATTTCAAATTTTGAACTTGAGAAGAAGTTGAAAATGTGTTTTCAAGATGGCCGCCATGACGGCCATGTTGGATTTCAGACCAATCCGAAATTAACAAACTTTGGTCAGGATCATGTCACGATCATTTCAGGTAAGTTTCAGCTCAATGAGACATGTAGAACTTGAGAAGAATTTGAAAATGGTTACGATGGACAACAGGTGATCGCAATAGGTCATCAGACCCTTCGGTTATATCGGTTGCAAAATCATTTTTACTTTCACTTTTAATTCTGTTTCTAGGAAATTAGTTGAACTGAAGGCAGGATAGAGTAATATACTGTAATATTCACTTAAGTTCATGTATAATATTAATCATCATCAATTTATCAATTATCATGTTTTTCTTGAGTTGGAGCTAAGTAAAATATGTTACCTGGCTAATTTTAGTGTCAATACTGTTAAGTCAAGTGAAAAGCTACGACAATCATGTGACATGTAAGCCAATAATATTACATAATATTCCAATATGATTTGATAAAACTTTTAGCAAGATCCCTTGTAAGTGTATTGGTATTAATAAAAAATTGTACAACACAAGTAAATCATTACACAAGTGTAAATGACACTGGTATGAACATCAACCAGCATCATGGTTTGCTTTTTGAACAAAAGACTTCAAATTGAATTTCTGGCAGATAAACGGATGTTGTATGTCTTTGCTCTAATTGTTTGGACCTAAATTTGAGTCTTAATTATGTAATCAGTACTAATTCTGAAGAATTTAGTGGAATATGACCAGCACAAGATAGTGACTTATTGTTTTTCAACAGCGAGGGGTGGAACTTACCTGTAACAGGTAAAAATAATTACCAATATTTTATCTTTATCTTATTTTTATCTTAGACTTTATCATATTTAACTATTTTCTTAACTTAATTTATATATGGAATATTCTGAATCGTCATATATCTGATATCATAATAAGCCGGCTCAATTGTATTTCAAAGTAGAAAACAGCTCTGTTACACTGAATTGAAGAATAAGGTTTGAAGTGCAAAGTAAAACTTAAGACCCCAAAGGGATCTAGGAGCCCATCATTATTTCATCTTATTTGTTCTGTAAGTGTTGGATCTTTTCCCTTCCCTTTCTCTGTTTTTACTCTTAATGATACAAAATCTAAACATTCATTTGCAGAAATAGCAATTATGACCAACTGCCAAATCCAAGATGGTCACCTGTCCACCTTTTTGTTTTTCTGATCAGTACCAAAACAGGTACAACTAAGGACCAAGGAGAACCTACATCTGAGATTTGAGAAAGATCCATCAAGTACTTCTCAGTAAACAACGGTAACAAAAATGGTTTAAAGATGGATGAACAGAAGGATGGATGATGGACCCTGGACATAGGGCAATCTGTATAGCCTACCATTTTATGGTAATGAGATAAATGGATATCACATCTCCATTTTTATAAACATCACCATATGAGATAGTATTTTTAAAAACAGTCAGCATAAGCCAACTAAATAGAGGAAGTTGTGATCAACATCCTCACTTCAATCCAAATAAAGAAATTCTATAACTGACTGTCATCCAAATCAGGAAATTCTATAACTGACTGACAATCCAAATAAGGAAATTCTATAACTGACTGACAATCAAAATCAGGAAATTCTATAACTGACTGACAATCAAAATCAGGAAATTCTATAACTGACTGTCATCCAAATCAGGAAATTCTATAACTGACTGTCATCAAAATCAGGAAATTCTATAACTGACTGACAATCCAAATAAGGAAATTCTATAACTGACTGTCAATCCAAATAAGGAAATTCTATAACTGACTGTCAATCCAAATAAGGAAATTCAATAACTGACTGTCATCCAAATCAGGAAATTCTATAACTGACTGTCATCAAAATCAGGAAATTCTATAACTGACTGACAATCCAAATAAGGAAATTCTATAACTGACTGTCAATCCAAATAAGGAAATTCTATAACTGACTGACAATCAAAATCAGGAAATTCTATAACTGACTGACAATCCAAATAAGGAAATTCTATAACTGACTGACAATCAAAATCAGGAAATTCTATAACTGACTGTCATCAAAATCAGGAAATTCTATAACTGACTGACAATCAAAATCAGGAAATTCTATAACTGACTGACAATCCAAATAAGGAAATTCTATAACTGACTGTCATCAAAATCAGGAAATTCTATAACTGACTGACAATCAAAATCAGGAAATTCTATAACTGACTGTCATCAAAATCAGGAAATTCTATAACTGACTGTCATCAAAATCAGGAAATTCCAGAACTGACTGACAATCAAAATCAGGAAATTCTATAACTGACTGTCATCAAAATCAGGAAATTCTATAACTGACTGACAATCAAAATCTGGAAATTCTATAACTGACTGTCATCAAAATCAGGAAATTCTATAACTGACTGACAATCAAAATCAGGAAATTCTATAACTGACTGACAATCCAAATCAGGAAATTCTATAACTGACTGTCATCAAAATTAGGAAATTCTATAACTGACTGACAATTCGAGAGAAAATTACTAAAACTGCTAATGGAGGCATGTATGACAGTAAAAATGTAATATAGTATATACACAAAGAGTATTGTAATGAGAGCGATACAGCTCTGATTAACAAGCTTAGAGAAAGAAGTAATTCCAGGAGAGAACATCATGACAAAAAAATAAAATCCTAACATATCTGAATCTGTCTCCAGATTTATAAATGGGCCTTAGGAATTAGCAATTCCTCAGAAAAACAACAAGTCATTCCTAGGAGACTGCTGTTTTGGTGGAGACTGGTTTTACTGTCCTGTTCATGTGGTTTTCCGAGAGATTCTCATGTCCTCCCCAGTCAAGTCAGATGGACAAAAGGCACATACATACAGACACTTAAATAAAACAAAGATAAGATCACCATAACCATACAGACACAAGGTCAGCATGACCAATGACAAGGTCATTTTGACCAAACAGACACAAGGTCAGCTTGACCAATGCCAAGGTCACTTTGACCAAACAGACACAAGGTCAGCTTGATCAGTTACATCACTCAACCAAAATTGGACATGGTCAACACGATCAAACAGGCCACACTGACAACACAGACACAAGGCCACACAGACAACACAGACACAAGGTCACACTGACCACACAGACACAAGGCCACACAGACAACACAGACACAAGGTCACACAGACACCAGGCCACACAGACAACACAGACACAAGGCCACACAGACACAAGGCCACACTGACAACACAGACACAAGACCACACTGACCACACAGAACTCCTACCTTGGCTAAGTCTGGAATATCACCCTTGTCAATACCAACATTCTGAAACAAAGCAAACAGGAAATCAATAATCTGTACAATTTCATATTATCTCCAAATAACAGACTGCTAAATCATACAAAATACAACTTCAAACAGCTTATACCTAATGGTGATATCGCCATCAAATCAAGTCATAACATATCTGTACACTTTCCTAACTCATTTACAAGGCAGGCTCATACTGAAGGTCAAGTTTGATGTGGATGTATGGACATGCCAAATTATTTTTATTTGAGACCTTAACAATTCCTGACAATATGTGACTATGTATGGGTTCAAATTTATTTATTTTTTTTAGAGCAGGTTTGATGAAAGACAATGACCTTATCAGAATCAAGCAGCCTCATTACCTGGGTACATATTACATAGGGACACACTATGTACAAAGTTGTGCATACCATTTTTATCTAAAACTGAAATTTTTTTTTGTGGATATCATTCAACTTCTTTTTTTCCAATAATTTCATCTTGTGATTTTTGTTTGATGAAGTTGACGAAGTGTAGTACTCATGGAAATATCACATATATTTTTAACTGGTTGTGTTTTACGAAAATCTATTCATATTTTTTGAGGCTACATAAAGCAAAGCAGAAATAATAACTGATTTGAAAATGGTTACACCTTCACTCCACATCACTGATTCCAGTATCACTTTGATAAATGTTGTTCACTGCTAATTAGAGGTCAGTAGGGCAGCAACTCTATATAAGGTGATGACGACTATTAGCAAGGCTGTGTACTGGTGACATGCTTTGGGGATACCCATCATTGAAGGACAACACTTATACACTAATGCCACAGTGATACGGCTGTCAGGTGTTTATACATCTAACACAGACATCACACACAAACAATACTTATCATCAGCACAGCAAATATAGATTTTTAAGGGTATTGCCTCACATTTCATATTTCCTTGGGGGAAAGGTAGGTAACAGGTTTTAACAATACAAGGTAACGACTAATTATGATGTTAAAAAACAAATGTTGTGTAATAAATATGTGCAAAAAGTAGATCAAAATGAATTGAAAATTTGTGACATTCACCAAATTTTATTATATGCACGGCCCAAAACAATATCCAGCACTTTTAAATTACCTCATCTTTCAGGCTTCTGGCCTCCTACAGAAAATTCAAACACATATTGAAAAACTTCCATCTAATAATGTAAAGTACCGAAATTGTCAACAAAATATAAAAAAAAAAAATAAATAATTTTCATGAAATCTAATTAAATCCAAGGTTTATATATGCGCCTGTCAATGACTTCTTTATTTTTAATGCACTTGTGGAGCATTTTCATCATAAATTCAAGGCAAGCTACATGAAGGAAGTGTCACAAGCAATTACACCATATTCTGCTATTGGGTAAACATTGATTAAATCATAAACACCAGGTTAGGTTTGAAGGAACTCTAGCTTAAATTTCAAAATATTCAGCAGTCAAGCCTTTGAAAGAGAAATATAGGACAAGTCACTGGCCATTCACATTACCTGGTCAAGCCGAAGCATAATTAATTGGTAATAAAACAGCTTCAAGTCATCTTTAAACAGGGACATACCTAATGTTTAAAACATGTACTGTGTAAATCTATCACGACAGGCATTGAGATTAAACACAAAGAAGCAACAGTAAGCATACCAGTGTTTGATAAGGTGGGTAATCACTGCTTTGTCTATCTTACACCGTTCCAATCCTGTATAGCTTATATTATCGCCCTTTGTTTTTTTATGATTGAGATACATATATATTTTTTCCATGCTGATGGTAAATACCACATTCATCCTGAAATAAGACCCCTTCCCAAGTGTAAAAATTTAGTTTTAACGTTTGGAGAGGGCTTATTTATAAGCCACTTCAGCTTACCATTTCAAAATAGATGATTCTGCTTTAATGAAGAAGAGGGCTTATTTGTGGGCAGGTGCTTAGTTGTGGATAAATATGGTAATACTGTTTTGTCCCAACATATTCCATGATGCATAGTTCCATGGTTAAATGGAATTGTTTTTCTATACTGTCATAAATATGAACAAAAATTGCATTCCAATTCTTATTGATGCCCTAAACAACTCAGAAAAATGCCTTTCAGCTTTCTGGATTTTTAAATTAATTTTTATTTTGTTTTTGACACATTTTAAATTACCTTTCTGACAAACTTGTGCAAATGACATATTTTGTTGGACTGGGTTTTGTTGTTCTGGGTAGAAGTTCTGGCAGGCGATAAACACATTTACATCCCAATTTAATTCCGTGCCCTGATTTGTTCCCTAGCCATATATTGGAGAGAAGGAACAATTACTGCTGTTGTTAGAAAGTAATATTTATCTATGGGCTATACAAAAGCTGGCCTTTAAACTAACAAGGCCGTGATGGTGTAAGCCAGACAAGTGCCAGGTTAATGCTTTAAACGTTTAGTGGATAGTTTCATCAAATTTCATTGAATTGCTAGTAAAACTTACCTCTGCTACTTTAAGGAATTCTGACACTTTGTCCATTCTGACGAGGAATTTTTTGTAGCCATCTAATGCATCCTTACACTGCTTTTTATTCATATCAAAGTATTTTTCTGCAAAAGAGAACATCATATCACAGCAATCTTAATTCATCAAAAAAATTGATTTGTTAAATAATTGAAAATTAAATATATATAATATTCAAATTTTTTTAAAAAGTCCCTTGTTTCTTTATACTATGTCTAGATAAAACATTCTGTCTGAGCTGAGGATACAATGGAAGAAAAATAACAGTGTAAATAGTTAATTACTGTCACAAGGAAAACAAGTTTTCATGTTCTGTTCCCCTGAAAACTCCACAGAAAGCAGTGTTGTATGTTTCTTTGTTTAAAAAAAATTACAAAACAGGTACAGTTACCTTTACAATAGACTTTGATTTTATTTCTTGTAAAATCAATAGTAAGACTATGTTCTACTGCCATGAAAACTCAATAGTTCATAAAATATTGATTTGCTGCCTAGTCAAAGCTCAACTATTCTTCTTTGTAAACTCAATCATTACAACTGACTTAATATCCAATGAACTATATAGAGCTTGTTTTTTGTACGTTCCCTTTAAACTCAAACGTAACACTATTTCATTCTATGATCCTTATCAATAAGAGCTACAGTTTTATGCTTTAGATAACTCAACAGTAACATCTTAACTAGAACTTCTGTTTCCTCATTACCTCAACAGTAACATCTTAACCAGAACTTCTGTTTCCTCATTACCTCAACAGTAACATCTTAACCAGAACTTCTGTTTCCTCATTACCTCAACAGTAACATCTTAACCAGATGTTTTGTTTCCTCATTACCTCAACAGTAACATCTTAACCAGAACTTCTGTTTCCTCATTACCTCAACAGTAACATCTAAACCAGAACTTTTGTTTCCTCATTACCTCAACAGTAACATCTTAACCAGAACTTTTGATTCCTCATTACCTCAACAGTAACATCTTAACCAGAACTTCTGTTTCCTCATTACCTCAACAGTAACATCTTAACCAGAAGTTTTGATTCCTCATTACCTCAACAGTAACATCTTAACCAGATGTTTTGTTTCCTCATTACCTCAACAGTAACATCTTAACCAGAACTTCTGTTTCCTCATTACCTCAACAGTAACATCTTAACCAGAACTTTTGTTTCCTCATTACCTCAACAGTAACATCTTAACCAGATGTTTTGTTTCCTCATTACCTCAACAGTAACATCTTAACCAGAACTTCTGTTTCCTCATTACCTCAACAGTAACATCTTAACCAGAACTTCTGTTTCCTCATTACCTCAACAGTAACATCTTAACCAGAAGTTTTGTTTCCTCATTACCTCAACAGTAACATCTTAACCAGAACTTCTGTTTCCTCATTACCTAAACAGTAGCATCTTAACCAGAAGTTTTGTTTCCTCATTACCTCAACAGTAACATCTTAACCAGAACTTCTGTTTCCTCATTACCTCAACAGTAACATCTTAACCAGAACTTTTGTTTCCTCATTACCTCAACAGTAGCATCTTAACCAGAACTTCTGTTTCCTCATTACCTCAACAGTAACATCTTAACCAGAACTTCTGTTTCCTCATTACCTCAACAGTAACATCTTAACCAGAAGTTTTGTTTCCTCATTACCTCAACAGTAACATCTTAACCAGAAGTTTTGTTTCCTCATTACCTCAACAGTTACATCTTAACCAGAACTTCTGTTTCCTCATTACCTCAACAGTAACATCTTAACCAGAACTTTTGTTTCCTCATTACCTCAACAGTAGCATCTTAACCAGAACTTCTGTTTCCTCATTACCTCAACAGTAACATCTTAACCAGAACTTCTGTTTCCTCATTACCTCAACAGTAACATCTTAACCAGAAGTTTTGTTTCCTCATTACCTCAACAGTAACATCTTAACCAGAAGTTTTGTTTCCTCATTACCTCAACAGTTACATCTTAACCAGAAGTTTTGTTTCCTCATTACCTCAACAGTTACATCTTAACCAGAACTTCTGTTTCCTCATTACCTCAACAGTAACATCTTAACCAGAACTTTTGATTCCTCATTACCTCAACAGTAGCATCTTAACCAGAACTTCTGTTTCCTCATTACCTCAACAGTAACATCTCAACCAGAACTTCTGTTTCCTCATTACCTCAACAGTAACATCTTAACCAGAGCGTTTGCTCCCTCACTTACTCAATAGTGAAAGCACTTCTTCTGTTTCTAGGTAACTGACATCGGTAAACACTCTCATGTAATTTCTCACAGATAAGATGTCACACTGACAGTCATTAGTGCTAGCCACTCTATTGATTTGCAGACTCCAAGACAAGAACATAATATGAGAAGCAATCAGTAACTGGTATAATCACTATGTACTTCCTTGTTTATGTTTTTTATCTTACAACACATTAAACTGATTAATCATACCTGTGAAAAAGAACATTTTCAGAAAATCCCATTAAGATTAGACATAAACCAAAGCACACTGATATCCATTTTCTATTGAGAGAAGGAGACCTAGTATTGCTATATTTTCCCCATCTGATGTTGAGGACATATTTTCCAAGTGCAAATCCCTGCACTATCATGATGTTACATTAAATTACACAGTGTAATAATTGAGCAATTAAATGCATCAGTTCAGAAGACCGGAGATCAAAAAATCAATTTCTTGCCATCAGAAATTGTTCTTTAATCTAATTTTCTGTTTAATGTATTTTACAAATATATTAAAATGATTTTCATTTATGTTTTCACAAGAAAATCAACGTGATAAGCTCTAGTGACATTAAGACTAGCTGTGTTGTCGGTGAGAAATCAATAATTCTGAATTAGGCTGCGAACACACAGTCCATATCTCAAATGTCACTGGTAAACCTTAACTAAACTGTAGCTGTCTGTCAGTGCAAACACACAGTCAACACCAATGTCAACAAGAATGTCAACACCAATGTCAACACTAATGTCAAGAAGAATATCAACACTAATGTCAACAAGAATGTCAACACCGATGTCAACACTAATGTCAACAAGAATGTAAACACTAATGTCAACAAGAATGTCAACACTAATGTCAGCAATAACTCAACTTAAAGTCTGATGACATCATCTGTCTATGTTAATCAGGGGTCCAGAAAAGCAATCGTCCGGTCGTCATTGACGAGTGAAAATTGTCTCGAACAACCAGATTTATCTTTGTCAGTCGTCCTTAGGACGAATACTTTTTATCCAATGATATTAATGTTAAAACTTTGATTTCAATAAAAATGTAAAGAAAATTTAAAACAAAGAAACACGTTTACGGTACTTTGAAAACAAAATATTCCAGTCTGCTCTCTAACTTTCGATTACACCAGAATTACCATGACGTCAAATATAAGATTTTCATTTTCTCGCCGTCATACTGATGCCAGGTGCTCTCGTTCTTACCTAGCACCTAGTCAGTCAGATGTAAACAATCACTACGACTAGGCCTAAGTCAAACACAATGTATGACGCAAAGCAGCCATAACTGCATAGTTATTTTCACTATAACTTCAAATAAAAATAGAAAAAAAGTCACATGTCACATCCTCGCTGATTAAGTCGCCGTTTCATAGCTGAATTTGTACGAGTAAAATCCAATCCGGAATTTTTCATCCCACCAGTCCTGTGTCTAGTGGTTTAAAATATTTTTCCAGACCCCTTTTAATACTTAATTATCTGACAGGTTGATGGCAATATCTGTCTATGTTAACACTAAATTACCTAAAAGGTTGATGACACCATCTGTCTATGTTAACACTGACTTACCTAAAAGGTTGATGACACTATCTGTCTATGTTAACACTAAATTATCTAAAAGGTTGATGACACCATCTGTCTATGTTAACACTGACTTACCTAAAAGGTTGATGACACCATCTGTCTATGTTAACACTGACTTACCTAAAAGGTTGATGACACCATCTGTCTATGTTAACACTGACTTACCTAAAAGGTTGATGACACCATCTGTCTATGTTAACACTGACTTACATAAAAGGTTGATGACACCATCTGTCTATGTTAACACTGACTTACCTAAAAGGATGATGACACCATCTGTCTATGTTAACACTGACTTACCTAAAAGGATGATGACAACATCTGTCTATGTTAACACTGACTTACCTAAAAGATTGATGACACCATCTGTCTATGTTAACACTGACTTACCTAAAAGATTGATGACACCATCTGTCTATGTTAACACTGACTTTCCTAAAAGGTTGATGACACCATCTGTCTATGTTAACACTGACTTACCTAAAAGATTGATGACACCATCTGTCTATGTTAACACTGACTTACCTAAAAGGTTGATGACACCATCTGTCTATGTTAACACTGACTTACCTAAAAGATTGATGACACCATCTGTCTATGTTAACACTGACTTACCTAAAAGGTTGATGACACCATCTGTCTATGTTAACACTGACTTACCTAAAAGGTTGATGACACCATCTGTCTATGTTAACACTGACTTACCTAAAAGGTTGATGACACCATCTGTCTATGTTAACACTGACTTACCTAAAAGGTTGATGACACCATCATTGTAACAGGCAAATAGTCGAATGAGGTCTTTAAACAGCAGCAGAAAAGTAGCATTAATTACTCCATTTGTTAATTCATTCTGTGTACACTGAAAAGGTCAATCAAAATTAAACTTCATTTTTAAAATATTGCAAAAGAAGTTCACTTGTTAATCAATCACAATTTTTTACATGAAAATTTGTAAAATTGCATTCTTCATCAAAAGTAACAATATTGTATTGAGACCTTTTGCTCACTTCATAAGTTCAATTTTTCCTTTTAGCTTTCATATTTTTTCAAATAATTCAATAACTGTTCTTTCAACATAGTTTTACACTGAAACAAACAGTATTTTTAATGAATTCAATATGGAAAGGATTCTATCAAGGTGGTCTTCTCTCACCCAACCTATTTTTATGTATAGTCATTACCTCCCTTTGTCCATATTTTTTTTAATCATAATCAAAGCTGGTAACTGCTTTGGATGGACAGAATGAGACACTGTGCTTTATAGATAGCAAGTAAGTCACCCAGTATGCTCTGGACATATTTCCGGCATCAAAATTGATAAAAGGAAACAATTCTGTAAGTGTAGGATTACAGTATGTGACAATCATTCTGCCAAAGACAAACAAATAATGCCAACTTGGTGATCATAAGTGCAACAGCAGTTTTGAGCCAGTCAATAAAAAACTGTTGACACTCAGCCAAACAATTTCATATAGCTGATTATCACATCATACATGATAAAATTGACTGTACCTATTCTTCTCCAAATGTAAAATTATTTAATTTACACCAAAATTTTACTTACATCAAATTCCAACAATCCGTCTAACTGTTTCTGTAAACATGGTAATGTTTTTAAAAGCTGAAAAGGAAAAGATATGTTACACTAGTTATATAATATAAATATATGTGTTAATTCAATATTGGCAATATAGATCTCTACTAAGAAATTCATCTCATCACATATATTGTTTCTATATTTTGAAAGATTTCTGATAATTCTTTAATTAAAAAAAAAAATCTAAAATGAATAATTTCTTTTGATTGTCTTTTTGAGATTTCCCTGATGTATAAATATTTCAGCTAGGTTCCTAAATAAAACTAGTTGTCTTGTATTTCTATAATCAGAAGTGTGAGTCATAACTGGTTACCCTGGCTATACGGTCGGCAGTCTTCCATCCTTACTCCTCGTCTTCTCACCAGTGATTATCAATATCATTGATTTACCATCTCAAACCTCTTCATTCACAATTATCACTTTTCATTCACAGGTATCAAAAGGAATAATTCACAAACCTTATCAGAATTACTCAAGCAAAACAACTTATTTTTATCTCTTAAATATTAGTGGATTTCAAGTCACTTATAAATGATTACAAAAATACTGATAAAGTCTACAGTTACCTGCCTACATCAGTGGGAGTAATATGACCTGAATCAATATCAAAGATTTAATAATGATTTGTTATATAAAATTGTGATGGGCACATGATTTAGGTTGGGATGGTGAAGAACAGTTTTATAAACTTACTTTTTCTGTATTCATTGTTCGTAACAAGCCGTCTTCTTTCCTACAAAATTTAAATATCAACAGTGAATGTAAAGGTCTATCAAGTACTTAACAGATAGAATTTTTAGCTTTTTACAAAAAAGAAATATATTTCTGACCCTGTCTAAAATAACCTTCTGTAGATGACCCTTTCTATAACAACCATTTGTAGATGGCCTTGTTTATAACAACCACTTTTAGATGACCCTGTATGTAACAACCACCTGTAGATGACCCTGTCTACAACAACTACTTGTAGATGGCCTTGTTTATAACAACCACTTTTAGATGACCCTGTATGTAACAACCACCTCTAGATGGCCCTGTTTATAACAACCACCTTTAGATGACCCTGTATGTAACAACCACCTCTAGATGATCCTGTCTGTAACAACCACTCGTAGATGATCCTGTCTGTAACAACCACCTGTAGATGACCCTGTCTATAGCAACCACCTGTAGATGACCTTGTCTATAACAACCACCTGTAAATGACCCTATCTATAAAAACCACCTCTATATGACCTTGAATTCAAAAGCAAGTCCAGAGAGGTTGATAATACAAAATGATTCCTTTGAATTTGAGTATATTTCTATTCCGAGGATGTTTAGAAATTAACACAATGTGAGTATGACTGTTTGCTTGCTGGTTTCATTGCCTATAGAACTGCCATTTTTACAGCAGATTTCCTTGCAGTAGCTGGTGGCTACCTCTCTAGACAACATACAGGTGGCCTGTCATATGTCATCCACTGCAATTAGGATGAAATGTCATATCCAAGGACACAACCACAACAGCACAGACCTGTCTGTTTCTCAGCTTCCTGAAAATCACAATGCACTACAAGTAGGAAGTGTCGAACCGTGCACCTCGGTTCTTCATCTGAGGTTACATAGGCTAACACTTGAACTGACTGAGCTATTGCAGCCCCCTATGTCAGTATGAAGATTTAAATAGGTTTCTGTTGGCATGTATACAGATGTCTGGTGTAACAAAGTAAATGTTTCAAAGATCCAAGTAATAGTGACAAAACCAGAAATAATATTGCTCTTATCTACTGTGTATACTGCACCTATATAAAGATGCACATGGTAATTGTCAAACAACACAAGAGGACAGTGTCTGCAGACTTAAATGACACAGACATGTTTTAGACTCCGTTTAACTAGAACAAGGATGTTCAGCCTCATCAATTGATCAATGAACTAAACATTTACAAAATAATGCTGTCTCAGAAGAAAAAAAAAGATCTATGAGAATTTCCATATAAAATGTGTATAATTGACATCTGCAACCAAGACCACTCAATACTGGAAAAAGACAAATAATATGATAATCAGGAAAGAATGTGGTGAAAAGTTTGCATTTTTGTGCCACAGCCATACTACATACTTAAGCCAAGCATTTATAAGAATAAATTGACTGTCAAAATTACAAACTATTTTTATGGCACTATAACTGGTCACACTCTTAGTGATCACAATCAACATGCCACAATTACTTAAAACCATTCAACTTTTCATGTCCATGCATTTTATCATAATAATTTTTCCCCCGTGAAAATGATATTAGAAAAATTTCAAAGACAGTTCAACATTTTCTCCAGGTAAGTGTACATATCCTCTACAGACTTTCAGTGAAGGAATATTTTACCCATTTCTTATATATAAACTTTCTTTAGATTAACAATTTACCCCATACTTATGTACATACCCTTTTTGAATTTTGAATGAAGCAAAATTCTTTCCCAATATTTTAGGACATATCCTTTCCAGATTTTGAAATGAGGTAACATTTTTTCCTCATACTTAAGTACATACCCTCTCCGGACTTTGCAAAAATCAAATGCCATCTGTCTGTAGGAGTATGCTTTTTCATTCAGGTATTTGGAGTAACGCCTGATAAATGTTGACATATCATAGCCTGAAAAATAAAAAGATTTATTTATTAAATAAGTTATACAATAACAAGACAATTTGGTAAGTTACAATCCCCCACCAACACACTCCTTCACCACGCTGAATCCATACCACAAGTATTAAATTATAATGATACACAACACACCACCTCACTAAAATCGCCCCATACAACAGGTATGAACTTCCAGTAACAAGTAGTGTTGGAGATAGAGTTCTGAACAAGATGGCGGAAGGATGAACAGAAGGATGAAATGACATATGGACAGACACACACAAGATAAAGCTATAGCCCTACCTCCCATCCCTTCAATCCCCAAAGTTTCTAGTGGAGGATTCATAAAAATAGTTGTAATCATGCCATGTTCATGAATGAAAAAAACGTAATCCATGATAAATATCGGATTATCATGCCATTATTGTTCTTTAAATGTAATTTTCTAGGCACACAGATTTCATGTCAGCTGTTTCATGTAAGTGACATGTATGTAAGTTTAATCTCATCCTAATGCACAATCACGCATCCTATTGCCTTTCTTGTAATTACAATGTCAGGTATGTTTTACCAGTGTTATAATGTTGGGTAATATGGTACCAGCGACAGAAAATATTTTAATCCGTCCACAATTTGACATTTAAATTTCAAGCAACAATAAATAATACTTTTGTGAGACTAAGTGTGATGTCATCATCAGTCTTCTGATGAAAATTTTAGGAAAAATCAGGTTAAAAATCGATGCATCCAGAACGGCATTCATATTTCAATGATATGACAATGGAATGTTACACACAGTTAAAAATCTTATAATCTATCAGAGCCTGGTCCAACATCTCTCTTCCAAATAACAAAGACTGTTACTATAAAGATCTTATTATCTATAACCTTGACTTCAGAAAGGTCAAACTAATCAATAACCTTGAATGGAGAAAGGTCCAACCAATCAATAACCTTGAATGCAGAAAGGTCCAACCAATCAATAACCTTGAATGCAGAAAGGTCCAACCAATCAATAACCTTGAATGCAGAAAGGTCCAACCAATCAATAACCTTGAATGGAGAAAGGTCCAACCAATCAATAACCTTGAATGCAGAAAGGTCAAACTAATCCGTGTGTACTTGATGACAAATTTATACAATTACTATCAATTCAATCTTGCAGGTTAACCTCTTGTTCAACTCGACACAAGCACTTAGAAAATCCTGATTATTCTGTAGTTACCAGTATGGGGCATTACTAGTGCAATTTCATTATCAGAAATAGCAAGATGAGCCAACAGAAACTTGATAAGTACACATAGGAATTTGATATGATTATTTGATTATAAAATAGGAGGTTTTCCTCAATTAGCTAGTCATGATAAAGGCTTAAATCATTGGGACTGTAATCTTGGGACAAAAATAGCACTGAAGAGTACAAAAATAGTGGGAATGAGTCCTACAAGACATTGCATTCAGCTGCTGGAGGCTGATACAGCCCACCTGGTGATATCACGCCATTCATGATCAGAAATCTCAATCACCAGCAGTGATAGGGAACAGTCTGTGATCGACACATCTTTTAATTAAAGAACACAATCACACCTACATTCAACACCTGTCTGTTGAGTGAGACTTCTCTTATCTCCACCCTATGGTATATGCAGGAATTACTTGCTTGTTGCCTGCTTCTTGGAAATATTTACAAAGGTATAAGACATGAGGTGAGATTTTTCAGGCACATGATTTTCACCCATAAACATTACTATACCAATTTTGATTGTATTGAAGAATGTTCTATTAGGAAACATGGTACCAAATATAGGTCACTGTGACCAACTTCTTTACAAACAACAAAAAAATAAACTTTTGCTGCTAATTCTTATCAGATTTGTCTTCGAAGAAAAGGTTGAATTTGACAGAATCCAAGAATTATTATTTGTCATTAAAATCACAGATTATATTGTCTTAAAACAGTGGAGTCAAGTTTAGTCCCAGAAGAACACGATATGTTTCAGAACAGATTTCTATGTATCATCCAGTAATAATTCCATATCTGTAAGGCCTCGATTTGTTTCCTGTGAAAACTTCCAAAATACAAATATACTTAATAAAATAAACCAAGTTTCTATTTCCTTCACGGAAATCACCCTCAGAAAACAGTCAGTATTTGAGATACTTTTCAAATTAATCACACACTTGACTTAGATATGAGTCTGTCTAGAACTTTTTTTCATAGATAGATGCTTTAAATCACTTAGATTTAGCAAATGCTTTATTTCAGGAACTCACTTTTGCAGATATGTAAGTGAAGAAGAATTGACTCTGAATTCGCAAATGATTAGCTATTAAAGACATAGACTTTAGAAAGCTCCCATATCGCAAACCAACAGCTTTATATTGGCCGCCATTTTGCCTATGAGAGTCATTTGACTATACCTGTAAAAAGTGATTTAGCCATGTGATGTATGTTGTGTCCATTCTGAATTGTATTTACTGGAGTACCAGCCAGTACATAGACAAAACAACATGAACACTCCATATTCTTTTCTGTTTGAAGAGTGAAGTGAGTTGGTAAGATGACAGGACTTCAATAGGCCAGGTGTATTGTGCAATGTTAAACGTTAGGCTTTGTTATGTGTTTATACTAATTATACATTAGTCGTCCAAGGGGTAACAACTCTGACGGTTTTCTTACTGTACATTTAGCTATTTACTAAAATAGATATTTTGCATGTTAATCTCTGTTGTTGTAAATATCTTTGCACCTTTCCACCACAAAAAGAGCATCAGGGATTTACATTTCTAAGTATTGTGGCACATGTGTTTGACCTCTGACCTATAGCTGTGCATTTGAATGGCACCATTTTGTTAAGAAAGCATTGCTTTTAAAAGAACAGTGTTCTAAAGATATCTGAATTAAAAAAGAAAAAGTCTAGCAGATCTGTTTGCGATATATAATGTTTACGTAAATATAAATTCAATGGAAGTAAACAAAAGTAAAGCAAGTTAACAACAGAATAACAAGGACAAGAAATTCATACAGATCATCTGGAGAGATTTGAATTGGCTCTTCTTACATATTATTGCAAAAATAAATCCCATCCGAAATATAAGTGACAGTACTAAACAATGGGAGATAACTCAGTATGGGACTGAAGGCTATACATATATATCTGATAATGCTATGGGGAGATCATAACTTAACTCTGTCAGTTATATATATTTTTATCCTAAGCCTACAGGAATATCATTTAACCTGGAACCAGTACATTTTACCTGATAGTCCATTCTTTGTATATACATAAACACAATCCCTTCTGTTATATCTAAGATCCTAAGATACACAATCCCTTCTGTTATATCTAGGAAAGTAATATACAGATATGCTATCCCTTGTTATATCTAGATTCCTAAGATACAGATACACAATCCCTTCTGTTATATCTAGATTCCTAAGATACAGATACACAATCCCTTCTGTTATATCTAGAATCCTAAGATACACAATCCCTTCTGTTACATCTAGAATCTTACAAATCTAGAACCCCAAAATACTGAACTGTTCTGCCTTTTGTTCTGTTTCGGAGAGCTCTCAGACACTTATAAAATCACTATTAGTTAAAACAGGTTATATATCTGTGTGTTACAGATGGACTATTCTTATTTCTCTGCTAAAAACCTGTATACTGAACAGTGATTAATGACTATGTCTATGGCCAGTTTTCCCCCTCGTGAGAATTCCAGCAGTGCCAATAAGCTAATGGACGCAACTAACATCAACATGGCCAATAAGAAAAAATGTCAGATCAATTTTCTGGTGTGAGAGAAAATTGTGGTGGCAAACAACATGATTTAGAACAAAACTTGATAACTATGGCTGTGCTTCCAGCATCTAATAGGCTTTTACAATACAACTAAACATCAATTTTGAGGTCAAGGTCATATAACATGTTTAGGTCAAGGTCATATAGCATGTATAACAGTTGTCAAGGTCATATCTATGTAGTGTGTGATGGTGGTTACAGTTATATCCAACAAATATGCTAGATGTTAAGGTCACAGCATTTCTTTTGATACAGGCCTAATCAAACAACTGTGTGGAGGAAGTTGAAGTTATTATTAGCTTGATGGATATGTTTGTTTGTTGCATCTATCACTTTGTCAATAGCTAAGGTCGTTTTGAACAGATCTCTGCATAGTAGCTGGTAATCACCTCAGTGAACAACAGGTGGAATGCCCACCACATGCTATCTTCAATAATCTGAGTTAAGTGCCTAAGGACACAAACCACAACAGAACAGGACAATTTATGACCTCAGTTTCCTGAAAACATAAACAGGCCCCCTGGCAGAGGTCGAGCACATCTCATATTTTCCCAAGATGTTGAAATATCCAAAGTTCCATGGACTAAGCTATCACAGTCCAAAGTTTCATGGAAGTCAAGATCATTTAACTCCTTAAGTTGTGTGATGATGGTGAAAGTTAATTAGATATTGCCTAGTATTTTTAAGGTGGTTTTGAAGGTCACATAATGACTTTGTGACTAGTGGACGAATAACTACTGTGTGATAGTAATCGACAAAGTCACTGACCTGTAATTAAAATCATCATTAACAGTAGAGAAAATGGAAGTCAACTAATAAGTAATGACTGATAACCAAAGGTATTTTGTTTTCAGCTAGTCAACCACGACCTTAGAATCTGTATACATATTACCTTCTGAAGATAACTCCAAACAACAAAATCTATAAATAAAGAAAGAACTTTTAACTATTACAATTTCTGAAGGTGTTTCAGTGTAGACGTTGTAAAAAGATATGGGAAATTAGAACGAAAAAGAAGGTATAACCAATATTTCAACTTGTAGGTTGTAGGTCAGACTAAAAAAAATCCAACTCTTAAAAAATAAAAATAGTTCTAACAATAAATATCAATGTTAATAATTCACTTAAAAATTAAAAAGGAAAAAAAAAAACCCCCCAAAAATTAAAAAAAAAAAAGAAAAAAAACCCACAGCAATACGAGGGACAGACATGGAAAGCAAATTTAAATAGTTAATGATGACAGCAGTATGGAAGTTTGGGAGTACTATTTCAACAACAAAGCATCAAATGAATTTATTCTGTATAAGGAAAAAGGATATTGAAGTTGTAGAGCTTGTTCAAATTATATTAGTGAATACCAGTAAATAAAAGCCCTAATTTACTCTGTGTTTAAAATTGTCTGGTTTTTAAAAATCAAAGAGTTTTATTGACATTATATGATACACTATAGGTCGCAACCAAGATAACATCAGCTTTATGATATGGCAGAATGGATCCATCAGTATGGTAACATAATAACACACAACTACAGAGAGACCTAACTGGGATTCTCAGTGTGCCTACAGACATACCTATTTAGTGCTAGTTTTACCAAACCAATATCATAATCATGTTTAATGCCAATAAAAGATAGGATAAATATGGCTCTATCATAAATCAATTATCATTGGATTGTCAATAGATATAGACATATTAATCAAATAATACAAAGTACAGCCATATCTGAGATAGGTACAGGTCAACATCACACCAGCTGATATAACATTCCTATACACTAGGGATGTAGCCAAGCTAATTCAGTTCTTATTTCAATATGGCACACCATTTATTATAGCTATCTCAAGAAAGATGCTGTAAAAACTGTCTCCTAATTGTCATGTTGTCAAACATTGTTCAAGTCCTTCTATATACAATCCGTTAAAAAGTCTTCAGCTTTGCTGATTAGTCAACGTAAAAATGTTCCAGGCTTACATTTTTAACAATTCACTTGACTTTGGTATCTTGTTCTGACATAGGAGGATAAAAGAGGATTTTACCATAGGAAGGGTGCTTTAAGAATCACAGTAGTAGGGAGACTACCTAAGGTCTGTACCATAGGGAGGTATCATAGGGAGGTACTGAAGGGTCACAGTAGAGTGAGACTGACTAAAGGTCCACACCATAGGGAGGTACTGAAGGGTCACAGTAGGAGGAGACTGACTAAAGGTCCACACCATAGGGAGGTACTGAAGAGTCACTGTAGGAGGAGACTGACTAAAAGGTCCACACCATAGGGATGTACTGAAGGGTCACAGTAGAGTGAGACTGACTAAAGGTATATACCATAGGGAGGTACTGAAGGGTCACTGTAGGGGGAGACTGACTACAGGTATAAACCATAGGGAGGTATTGAAGGGTCCCAGTAGGATGAGATTGACTAAAGGTCCACACAATAGGGAGGTATTGAAGGGTCACAGTAGGGTGAGACTGACTAAAGGTCCACACCATAGGGAGGTACTGAAGGGTCACAGTAGAGTGAGACTGACTAAAGGTCCACACCATAGGGAGGTACTGAAGGGTCACAGTAGGAGGAGACTGACTAAAAGGTCCACACCATAGGGAGGTAATGAAGGGTCACAGTAGGAGGAGACTGACTAAAAGGTCCACACCATAGGGATGTACTGAAGGGTCACAGTAGAGTGAGACTGACTAAAGGTATATACCATAGGGAGGTACTGAAGGGTCACTGTAGGGGGAGACTGACTACAGGTATAAACCACAGGGAGGTATTGAAGGGTCCCAGTAGGATGAGACTGACTAAAGGACCACACAATAGGGAGGTATTTAAGGGTCACAGTAGGGTGAGACTGACTAAAGGTCCACACCATAGGGATGTACTGAAGGGTCACAGTAGGGCGAGACTGACTAAAGGTCCACACCATAGGGAGGTACTGAAGAGTCACAGTAGGATGAGACTGACTAATGGTATAAACCATAGGGAGGTAATGAAGGGTCACAGTAGGAGGAGACTGACTAAAGGTCCACACCATAAGGAGGTATCGAAGAGTCACAGTAGGAGGAGACTGACTAAAGGTATAAACCATAGGGAGGTACTGAAGGGTCACAGTAGGGTGAGACTGACTACAGGTATAAACCATAGGGAGGTACTGAAGGGTCACAGTAGGGCGAGACTGACTACAGGTATAAACCATAGGGAGGTATTGAAGGGTCCCAGTAGGATGAGACTGACTAGAGGTCCACACAATAGGGAGGTACTGAAGGGTCACAGTAGGATGAGACTGACTAAAGGTTTATACCATAGGGAGGTACTGAAGGGTCACAGAAGGAGGAGACTGACTTAGATGGCCTAATAGACTAAAAGATTCTCCACCTGCATCTAGTAAATGTAAAAATGCTTTGGTTTCTGAAACAAATTTTTTGCAATTGCTCAATGCATTGTTACAAAGAGTAGAGATAACTTTTAGAATAAATTTACACAGGTCACACACTAGAGAATGGACAATTTCAATGAAGGCAATTACTCATAGAAGTCTTCACATAACGATGGCAAGGTTTTCAATTATGCAAGTGCATAGCTATTAAACAAGTGAGCAGTACCAAATAACTTACATGGCAGTTAAGAAAAAAGTCTCCTTAATTACCATGATGTATGACCAATTTTAAAGGCACCACACCTGCAATAGCAGACGAGATCCCTAACGTCGCAATACAAAGGTAGACTTCCCTAGTATTCTACAGAAACTTTAAATGTCAATTAGTTTCCTTTATAAACAGACTTAACACAATGATTTGAGAAGTTGCCAATTCTCACACTAACTTGTCTTAGAAAACACAGCTTTGAGAAAATCTTTTTGCAATATCATGATAAATAAAATTTGGATTTCTGAGATAAAGTTGCTTGTAATGATTTCAGCATATCTTCATTTTTCCGACTATCATGAAGCTACAGGCAAGGAAACTGCGATGTTTGCGTAACTAACCTGCCATACATGATTAAGTGACAAATGTACGGTTTGTACTGAATGATAGGAGGATATCTATGTTGTTTCCATTCATTGGTCATTTCTGTGAAACTTCAGATGACTACAGGTAATTCATGACAGCTATGTTTATCAGTTGTTAAAGGTAAACAAAAACCCGATAAGATATGCAGCATTTTCGTATACCATGGATTATTATAAGTGCAAAATGGATCAAGAAAATCTAAAAAGGATTTCTTCTATAAATTATTTGTAAGAAAAAGAATAAAAATGAGACCCATTCAGATCACTAAACTTACAGATTATGCAATAGTTACGACACAGAAATGGACAAATAATACATATAATTTATCCTTTACAATATATTTTCTATGTTATGTAATATAAACTATATAAACAGGGTTATATCATGACATGATATTTGTACCTACCTTGCACTCCACCCTTGTCAATGAATCCACCCAAGTTGAATGTGCAGTTGTTTGAGGCCAGGTACTGTGTGAATCTCTGTTAGTAAATTCAAAAGCAATTTTTTGAAATTCAACAAAACGGAAATTGAAAATGTTTGATATTCAGTCAACAAATTCAAATTCAAAATTGCTTGAAATTCAGGAAGCAAATTCAATATCAAACTCTTTGAAATTTAGTTGACAATTTAAACATATAAAAAGTTTGAAATTCAGTTGACAAATTCCACGGGGAACTTTCTGATACATTCAATAATGAAACTGTTTAATGTCTGTTAAAAAATTCAATATGAAACTCAATGAATTTCAATCAAAATTCAATATTAAGCTGTTTGAAATTCAGACTACAGATTTAGCTAGAACCTGTCTGAATTCAATAACAAGAAGCCTATGGGCCTATGGACGGTCACCTGAGGTCTTCAGGCCTTATGATAGTTTTAGAACCTGTCCATCAGTTCCAACATTGGGGCAGACAGAACAGAACTGATATATGCATACTTCAAAGTAAAGGAACTGATAACATCTGTTGTTGATGTTTAGCATATTTGACCCCTGTGACCTTGAATGAAGGTCTGGGTCATTCATAAAACAAACACAATTACCCTTCATCCCAGCATACTACTGGCTCAATATCATGACCCATGGGTCATTTGGTTATTTAGAAGACGTCCTTTAAAATTTTTAACACATTTGACCAATGGACATTAAAAATAGGTCAAAGTCATTCATTTGAATAAAATGGGTAGTCCTACATCTAGGCATCCAACTGGTCCAATAGCATGACCTTGAGCCTTTTGGTTATTGAGAAGAGTCAATGAATGAAACATTTTCTTTTGAAATGGCACATTAGCACTGACAGTAAAGTATTTAGAAAACTATTCTGTTCTGTCATTAAGACAAATCTAGTCTTACTACTGTCTATATCTTCAGCAGTTATCTTGTTCACACTTTTTGTGCTGAAACAGTTGTGCTTCAATATAATTATGCTAATTGAATTTTTTGTATGTTGTTTATTCATTTACAATTCTTTTGGATTGGAAAATTCATCACTGCAGTTATTTGCTAAAATTTCACTGTTCCAAACTTGGGATAAACAATAGCTGTTCTCTGCAAGATGTTTTACTTTTCATTAGCCATCAATTTAAACAAGTTAGCCTAGTGCCAGTACCAGTTAAGCGTGATGTTACAGTGTCTACAATGAGGTATTTCAGTGTGACAGCACTATAAAATAGCCTTTAAAACCCCATTCTTTATGGACAGTGTTATCAAAAGATGAAAACCATTAACAATATATATCTAAATTTAATTCAGCAATAAAATATATGTGGATTGAATCCATCATCCTCATACAAACATGCAAGTTTTTATTCTGCATTATACTATAGTTATACCAATGACAAAGACTTGATTATTACTTTATCTATTTTGAACTTTACAAATAGTATATGTAATGTTTCATTTACAGTAGATTCTGGGAGAGGTATACTATACAACACACTTAGTTCCCAGTATCAACTTTAGCAGACAATTTCAGCCTTTTTGGAGCATTTGTAAAACAACTACCAAGGAGTAAAATTCTACACTAGATAAGTTGAGCTCAGGAAGTAATTTAGCTGATAAAAAAATAGAACCATTTTCTTTGCCAAGGTCACACACTTAGGATACACTTACATTCTTTTCAACAAAGTTTAAACACATTCTATCCTAAGTGTTCGATAAGCTTTCTTTTATAACCAAACCTTGGAAGTGATTGGGCTTACAGATTCAGTTTGAAAGTAACAATCTATCAAGCTTATTTCTCTTGTTTACATGTTATATCTTTGATACAATTAAGGACATCAGTATTACCAAGCTCTCTAATATAGAGCCTTACAAAGGCTAATCATTCATGTCTTACTACAGCATTTATACTTCATAAACAATGTTTGTTTCTTAGCAACAATCACTACTGATCCAGGATTTTTTATTTTTCACTTAAGACACACTGATAACAACATCATATCATGTAAACTGCCCTCTCAACAACAACGAAATATAATCCTGAAAATGCATCAATTTGAAAGTCAATATAAATAAAAATTCAAAAATACATTCCAGGTCATGTTGACCTTTAGCAAACTCTAACCAAATAGTTTAATTCATGAAAAATAAAACTTGACTTACCTCATTTCCATAGTTCATGAGATTGTGAATTGTAATGAGAGATTTGAAGACTACTACCCAGTTCTGATGTTGTGTTCTCTCTATCAATAAATCAGCTAACTGAGGTATTGACACATTCGGTTCATTTGTGCATTGTAATAAATCTGAAAAAGAAAGGAAAACCTATTATTATGTAATACTCGGGATAAACAGATTTAACCAATACCTCAGTGAAACAAGTTTCTTTTCAAAAGTATCAGTATTCATTTTAAAACACTCTGTTTATGTATTAGCTCTACAGATAGACAACCTGAATCCAAACACCAACCTACTTTCATTTTGGACAGTAAGTAAACAATGCAGACAGGACTTATAATGTACTTAAAAATAATTTCAAAATAAAGACTTCATTTTTAAGACTCAAAAATTCCTCTAAGAAATGACTATCCTTCAGCCTATGTAAATGTATTGATATTGTATGATTAGCAGAGTGACCTTGAACCCTGAAACACTGATTCTACAAGACATGTTCTTATTGTAACTGACCTTTATTTCTCCTATGATGGAAAGCCCCCAAAAATCAAGTTACACTATATGCTAAATGGTGGGGTTGTAAAAATAAACAGCTGTATTAGCTTGGAACCTGTGACCTGATTCAATTTCTATAGCAGTATTGGAACACTCATAAACAAGACACTTGGATGTTGCAATACTACGCCAAATTTTATCATAAGACACAATTCCAAGCACACCAACTTATCAATCCCCAAAGGTATTCTTAGTCAGATATTTAATTATCTTGTCTATACATCTTCAAGCTACTAATGAATACTGAACATCATAACTTACCAGGGCTTTATTGGCCTAATTTTGAGAAGTTTTGTAAATTAGAAAGGAAATTTTCAAAAGTAAATTGCAAATTTTGGAAATTAAGCTTAAATATGATGTAATTTGAAATGTGAATAGAGTCCCCTATTGGCTCTTAAAAGCACTAAAAATAAACCCCTACAAACAAAGCAAATTAAAGGTCAAAATCATAATTTGATGATTAATAGATGTTTAGCATGAATGAACATTTTTCAGGAAAAAAACAAAAAGAATTTGTACAGCTAGTGTACTGTATATAGTAATAAATGTCACAATGAAAATGCATCTGCAATTTTCTTTATTATATGACCTGTGGCTTTTCCCTAAAGCATCTGCTATCTAAACTGGTTGACACTTAACTGACTATACCATCCACCTTTAATAACAGTTCTCCTCTCACAAATGAGCACTTGACAGCTCTATCAATAAAATAGTCCTGCTCAGGAAGAAACCAAATAATCAAATTTGCCAAGTCCCCATATTGATCATTTGGGATAATGCATACATACATATATATATATACACTACACACAAGGCTGCCACCAAACAAGCCACTCCAACTTTATATCATTCACTAGCTCAGCAACCAATGCCGCACCATGACAAGAGGCTTTCAATACTGGCTACAGTCATGCAAGATATTGACCGCATCAATACTGGCCATTGATCCCTAAATTAGATCTACATGTTGCTAACAAATCTGTCAATTTGACTCACTGAGGGCAGGTCACATGACAGTCAGTTGGGAGGTCACATGGTAGACCTAAAGGGGTCACATTGAGAACATGTACTGACAGTGACAGTTATGCAGATATATTAATGTGTGCAAAGTAAGTAGTCCTGGTTTAGGGAGATGAACATCATTCTCAGCTTTGCTTGCATGACAGCATAAACTTTAAGGACCGAAGTATTATTTTTCAAGAGATTATCTTCAATCATTTATTATTAATTAATATACTATGTAGTTCAAATTGGTGCACCTGGTTTCCTGGAATAAAATGTATAGTTTACTAATGATAAGTAGCATTGTGGTGTGGTATTACCTACAAACCTGGATGATATATACATTAAGATACAGCATCAGGGCCAAGGGTAACATATAAGCTTATTTCCATTTGAATCAACATATAATTTTATCTTATAAGCCCAGGTCTAATTCAATTTTTAAAAATTTAACTTACAAGACCTGTACAACAAATTATCTAAACTACGACTAGTTTGAAATACGTCGACGATTTCATAAGGTATTTCACTATTATCTGATCCTATGACATCTAGGTACAACAACTGGTTGAAATTTAGAAAAGTTGATAAACATGAAAATGTAAAATGATTATATAAATATATATACACACGAAAACATAAATACAAGAATTATAAGTAATTTTTATACATTTTGATAATGATTATTGCTCTATCGGAATAACTTGTTATTTTTTCTCTGGACTGAACACTTTGGGGATCCATATATTGAGCATTAAGGAAAGATCACACCATTACTTAATGTCAACTTTCGATCTTCCTTTTACTACACATATAAGATGATTAAGTATGCTGTTGTTAGAAACTTTGGCTCAGTATTTCCAGCTAATCTATACAACATGTAGAAAAAGTCTAGACAACTGCTTGCCTATACTTTAGGCTCTGGGGACACAATCACTACTACTGCAGACAAAGGCAACATCAAATTGGCTTTGAACACACAGTATATAGGAAACAGCTTGTTCAAGATTAACAGCAAAAGACAAAAAGGATGTCAACATATCTTCTCTATTGATTTGTGGTACTTGTCTTGTTTGGTTTATAACTGAGTGTAGGACAAAACATGTCTTCTGTATGGATTTGTGGTACTTGTCTTGTTTGGTTTATAACTGAGTGTAGGACAAACATGTCTTCTCTATGGATTTGTGGTACTTGTCTTGTTTGGTTTATAACTGAGTGTAGGACAAACATGTCTTCTGTATGGATTTGTGGTGCTTGTCTTGTTTGGTTTATAACTGAGTGTAGGACAAACATGTCTTCTGTATGGATTTGTGGTACTTGTCTGGTTTATAACTGAGTGTAGGACAAAACATGTCTTCTCTATGGATTTGTGGTACTTGTCTTTGGTTTATAACTGAGTGTAGGACAAAACATGTCTTCTCTATGGATTTGTGGTACTTGTCTTGTTTGGTTTATAACTGAGTGTAGGACAAACATGTCTTCTCTATGGATTTGTGGTACTTGTCTTGTCTGGTTTATAACTGAGTGTAGGACAAACATGTCTTCTGTATGGACTTGTGGTACTTCAATCTTGTTTGGTTTATAACTGAGTGTACGACAAAACATGTCTTCTGTATGGATTTGTGGTACTTGTCTTTGGTTTATAACTGAGTGTAGAACAAAACATGTCTTCTCTATGGATTTGTGGTACTTGTCTTGTTTGGTTTATAACTGAGTGTAGGACAAAACATGTCTTCTGTATGGATTTGTGGTACTTGTCTTTGGTTTATAACTGAGTGTAGGACAAAACATGTCTTCTCTATGGATTTGTGGTACTTGTCTTGTTTGGTTTATAACTGAGTGTAGGACAAAACATGTCTTCTGTATGGATTTGTGGTACTTGTCTTGTTTGGTTTATAACTGAGTGTAGGACAAAACATGTCTTCTCTATGGATTTGTGGTACTTGTCTTGTTTGGTTTATAATTGAGTGTAGGACAAACATGTCTTCTCTATGGATTTGTGGTACATAAGTTTTTATTATATATATATTACATATATCTTTATATCATATCAGAGAATATTATTCTCTATATACTAATAAAGTGATAACACTGTGTCTTCTCAAGTATGTTACATTTTCTCAGGATAAAAACCAAAACAGCTTTACTAATCATTTTAAGCAGCTTTTCTAATCATTTTTCTATTTTAGAATGTTTGCTGCCAACTTTATCAACAGAAAATTGTCAAAAATACATCTGCACACCTCAGAGGTATAAATTAGCCACATAACACACAGGGGACACATAACAATGGGAAGGAGTGTAATGAAGACACCTAGTCCCTCCTACCATCAGATGAAAATGACACCACCAGCTCAATAATGTTCCTCCCTTATCATTGTCAGCTGGATCATAAACCTTCGCCACAAATACTACTAATTTCCTCACACATATTGATTTCCTTGATTGTTCTTTTTTTCCTCCTCTCATTCAGAAAGTAGTACTGCCATCAGAATGGAACTGACTAGATTTCCTCTAAAACAATCATTGAGTCTATCAATTATTCACCAAGAAACTCTGGACCAGTACAGAGTTTGGTGTGATTCTGCATATACTGCTTTCTCAACACTGATTCAACTCCGGCAACACTAGTACTTCTATGTGCATCTACAGATCTTAACCTAATTCAACATACTGATCGTGTTTAGGACTTTGATGACCAAAATAATACTTGATGTAACCAATACCAATCAATTAAGATGAATGTAGACACATTAACCAAATTGGACATTTTGCAGATTTTTAGGAAGACTCAAATATCGGCTAAAATATCCTGGTATCACATGGCGACAACACACCCTACAGGTAAATCACAATAAAATGCAAATTTGAACATTCTGTCCGTTGCATTTAAAGTCCTCCTTGAATAATCCTAATTTTGTTGACAGTAACAATATGTTAAATAAACGACCATGCCTATTTAGGTAACATAAGAAAATGTCACCCTGTCAGTGTCAAGATTACAGATAATATATCAAAGGAAACAAATAGCAAGACAATTACTATGACTGTATATGTATATATGTGAAGACAAATGAGGTTTTCTGTATAAAGTCCCTAAAGTATGTACACACATCTCATTCAAGCTAATACCATCAATAAAGTAACAAAATGACTTCATTTGGCACTGCAGTAATTGACCAATTCCGTGCAGAATGCAGCGTATATACCTCTGTGGAGTCTCGGCTGAGTAGGAGAAGCTTTGTAACACAGACTAGAATCTCTAGAGTAGGTTAAGAGGTATTGATCTTACTCACAGTAATTCCTGTTAAAAACTCCTAACCATAATCAATGTTCTACGATTTTATACACCAATACATACACATCCTTTACAATGGCAACAAATTCTATCATATCCATGTTCAATGAAAAAGACCTTATCTCGGCTTTAATGCTGAACTTAATTATTACCTTCTGAACATCTATTTGAAACTATTATTGCAGTACTGGATTATCATCAGTAACTAACAGATTTATGATCGTAAGACTGGAAACCATTGAGACAGGATATGCAGCAGTCTTAAGTAGATTAAGA